AACATAAACCATGTTATCCTTCTCTAAAATAATAACAACTGAAAATGTTTTGAGAACAGTAGGGCATAATGTTCTAACAATGTTATCAAAAACATTTAAAGAATGTTTTTAGAGAACGTTATCCTACTTTTCAGAAGAACATTCTGGGAACCAAAATAAAAGCTTCTGCTGAAAACGTTTTAAGAATAGTAGGGCATAATATTCTAACAATGTTTTCAAAAACATTTTAAGAAGGTTATCACCAAACTTTTTAAGAATGTTTTTAGAGAGCGTTATCCTACCTTTCAGAAGAACATTCTGGGAACCAAACAAAAACTTCCCGCTGAAAACGTTTTAAGAATAGGAGGGCATAATGTTCTAACAATGTTATCACCAAACATTTTAAGAATGTTTTTAAAGAACGTTATCCTACCTTTCAGAAGAACGTTCTGGGAACCAAACAAAAACTTCCCGCTGAAAACCTTCCTAGAACAATGACTAACATTCTCAGAATGTTTTTAGAACCAAACATTTCTAGCTGGGGAGTTGGAGCTAAACCATGAAAAGCTAAAATGAGCAACATGGATTCTATTGCTATCCAGACAACGAGTAATAATTGTTAAATTTTGCAGGATCTGTTGGCAGAAATTGAATCAAAATACGTTATTGTTTTTTCTTTTATCTCATAAAACTTCAAATCAAAATACAAAGCAACAGTAGTTGAGATGCCTCTGTTTGGCCTAAAGTCATAGACCGACCCACTGATCTTTATTACCATCTCTAGAGCCACACATTTATACATATTCAATACATGTTCATAATATTTCTTATTGTATAAATGTAAACAATATATATTTTTTCATGTTATTCTATACTACCACAAACTTATTCTAATTATACCTTGTTTGAACACCTGTCCTATTCTGTGTTTCTATCTCGTTGCTAAAACACCTGAATTTCCCTACGGGATCAATAAAGGTTTATCTTATCTTAGAATATAATTGACAACCTCCGGGTAAAGTATACTTTCACATACCCTTAGTTTGCAGAGTGAGTTACATTTAATCAAACAGGTGTTCAACGTGGTCTCTTTAACCTCTCACTATCCATCTGCTGATCTATTGTGTGCAGTCTGAGCTTTATACTACACCTGAACCCCCCCTACTGTTGATTTAACTTTATTAATGGACTGTTAATGTTTGTTCAGGGAAGATTAGTTTTCCATTAATGCTCTGAATCTTTGAGAGCTTATTCCAAAGGGTGACGGGTATTTTCCACAAAAACCTATTCACCCATACTGTGTTTCTGCCTTAAAAGTACAGTTGTATTGAAAATGTATCATTAAAGGTTCATATTGCTACACAGCACTATCAGGAATAGGTCTAGGTGTTGCACTGGTTCCAAAGAGCAGGAAGTGCTTTAAAGGATCCAATCTGTCATCTCCTACTCTGAACCAATAACCGACAATTTCCCCCACTCTCTGCTTCCTAGTCAGCTGCAAAATTACAGATTTACTTACAGTCAAGGGGGGGAAGTGGATCGCTGGAGGGCGAATATTGAAGGAGAGAGGGGGAAAGATGAGAGGGAGAGTAATGGATAGAGAGCTGAGAAAAAGAAAAAAAAATCCCAGGACATCAGTAGTTTGAGCATAAATTTAAATAGAGCATGGACTGCTGAATGACAGCAAGGAGAGAGGAGAAATGGCATATGCTAATTTAGGTTTATGCGCCGATATGTCCCATGAGGGGTTTATAATAATGCTGAGGCATTGTGACACTCTGTGCTCATTACCGCCATAATGAAGAGAATATGCTAATAGCGGACTCATCTGCTAACAAAGTAAACAACACCTTCACACCCAAACAGAGAGCAGTTCGTTGATGGACATGAGAGGAGACAAAGGAAGATTTTCCAAACTAAATCTGAAAATTAATGATCAGATAATGCCCCACCATTCAATTCAAATATCCCATGCATACACATCTGGGCCCAAAGTCAGGATGATATGAGTTGAGTAGCAGGTGTGTAAAGTAGCCAGGAGTCCAGAGAGGTCAACCCAAATGCTCAGATCAAGAGACTGAATACATGCTTAGACTGGCAGAACTCTGAGTGGTCAAGTGAAAGACTTAACGGACAGGGGGAACTTCTGATCCTCTGCCCACACTCTCAAACTCCAGGAGTTGAAATAGAGAAAACACCGGGTCAAAGCGTGGAAGGGAATCTGCTGTGAACAGCATGCACAAGCTTTACAGTAATCCCTCACGTTTCCTTCTTCATTTTTGTCCTGACACGAACGTTTGTGCGTATAGATAAGTGCACGGGCACCTTAAAAGGACCCACACACAAACGGTTCAGGTTTCGTTTAATGAGCAATATGCGAGCAAGTAGGACAGAAATAAAGATACAAGTGATATGGATCATATGCTAATATGGCTGAGAGGGTAAAAGTGAGCATGTTTCATTGCTATAGCAACAGCCTTTGTACTTGCGGAGGAAAGTGGGTGGCAGAAAAAGGGCAAGATTGAGAGTGAGAGGAGTGACAAAGAGAGAGAAAGAGAGAGACTCTGACTTGCTCCTCTCTTGGCGAGGGTCTACTGATCCAGCTTTCTGCCAACCCCAGGACCCCGGGGCTTTAAACAGTCAAGGTCACTGAAGAGGAAAAATGGACAACTCCTAAACGTGTTTCTGCAGACTCCTCATCACCCGAGAGGCGATAAGAAGCAGTTATGCCTCACACAGACAGGGTGAGCCACTATTGTGCTCACGACATATGATTGTCCTCCACCAGACCCACTACTTACCAGCTGAAGGATAATGGTGGCTGTCTAAAACACCCTTGAAGGGTCAAGGATAATAATCATTATTGTGTCTTATTTGAAAGCCTTTTTCTTGCAAAGTGGCTTATGTTGAAAAAACACTCCGTATGAACCTTTTGTTCTGCATTTAAAAAAAATCATATGCAAGCAACCCTGAATATGCTCTCTGTTTTGTATGCAATAGCTCATCATCTTATTAATGTCCTATGATGAGTTCAACTGTGATGGCAGCATTAACATTGTTATGATGGGAATAACAATAACACCAATATAACTCAACACATACACGCAGTGAGGGGGGCATTTAGTTCATATTGAATTACAATACAGTTGTAGTCAACATGCACACACACATTAGCATAAGTCTGTGAAGGACAACCTTGAGTCACACATTCAGTGTGTGTGTGTTTAGAGAAAGAGCCCTTTGGAGCACCATAAGTAGCAGAGTGAATATCAAATTAGTTAAGGTTATTAAAGATCCCCTTGTTTCATTGAGACCTAAGTTCGCAGACACACACACACACACTTCAAAGACTTGCAGGACTGCTCTAAGGGCTTCTTGTGTCTTGCAAAGCCGACTAGTTTCGGCAACTGAAATCAGTGACGGCAGCTATTTTTAGGATATGTGAAATGTATCTCAGACACACGAATCATGATGAAATCCTCGTGTGCCAGGGAGCGTCCAACCCCCCCCCCCCACCACACACACTGACAAATACACATTCGTAAGAGACAAGAGAAATTATGCATGCTGAGGGAAAAGCATGGAGCGTGAGAAACATACATAAATTAATAAATGTAGGCCTGCAGTATGCTAGGCACAGCCAGGGTTGTATTTCCATGTTATTTTAGAGATCAGTGTTTTGAGTAAATCAAAGCATTTCCAAATAAACGTGTGGTTCATATTGGGTTTATGAGCTGATAGAAACAGCTCAAAGTCATTCTCACTGATGAAGCTCCAGTGCTTCAGGCCCAGCAGGTAACTATTACTGAGAGACGGCAGCCCCCCCACCACCACGCTGTGCTATCATGAGAGGCTGCTGCTTTGAACTGTTACAGTGTTTAAGTACATTTGAAAGCAAAACCAAGTACACGTTTAGTGAGACAGTGACAAAGCTCTTAATTTATTTCAGGGTCCACTTGGCACACAGCAGTCTAAATTAGGATCTTATTAATAAAGAGTCTAATATTCTTACATATATAGTAAAAAATTGATTTCGTTAGTATTGTAGCTCAAGTCCGAGCAGCCAGGTTCCAAAACATAGTGGAACGCCTAAGTAATACAACAATAATAACTGTTGAGGAAATCAGTTTAATCCATGCCGCAGTTTTTCTATCAACTGAGCAATTTGAAGCCGTTTCCACCTATTTTTCTATATCTCCACGATCACTGTCAGCATGTTGTGATCATAGTTTGCAGCTGTCAGAAAGCCTGTGCCAGCACATACAAGCCCACAGCTTGTAAAGGTGGTGACTGAGATAACTTCTGAAATGAAGTCAGTTAAAGGCAGGGCATGAGGTGATGACGCAGCTGCGTGAGACCTGTTCGAGTGTGATGAAGTCGGCGTGTCGTACACCGGGGGAAATCAACCGAGGGCAGAGAGCACGGAAAAACCAAGGGGGGAGGGGTCGTGGCCAACGAGCAGAACATCCTCTCATTAATAAAATCAGCTGATGAAATTAGAACATCTTGATTGGTTGGTCACACACACACACACACACACACACACACACACACACACACACACACACACACACACACACACACACACACACACACACACACACACACACACTCCTCCATTACCCCTACATAATCAAGTTATTTAATGGATATATTCAAGTTTTTGTGTGACAAAAAGATAATTAAGGGCCTTATCTATTTAAAAATGTCGTGGTCATTTAATAAGTTTCGTGATCACCGTGAAATAAGTTTGTGTTTGCAGAAATCGAAAAAAAGACCAAACTTGTTTACTGAAACATTTGGTTTATTAGAAAGCTCTTTTAAAATATTCTATAAGGCTACATAAAAAAGGTTTGCACCACATGAATACACATCTTCAATACACAGTATAAAAATACCTTTAAAAATAGCACCTTTTCTCTGACAGATGAACATGCAGTCGTGATCATAAGCACAAGTTCCCCCAAACGATGAAATACATTATGTACAAAATATTGGCAGAATATTGTGCTAGGTTCTTCATATTTGTCAAAAATGTGCCCATAATGATAAACAAATATAGATGTGCTTGCATAGTTATAATGTAGAGAAATGTGAGGAGTTATTTCAGGCACCTGGGGTTCAGGAATTATTTTCATTTTTATTTTCACTTTCAGGGATTAGAAAGGGTTGAAAATCACCTGGTTGAATTCATTCATTTTAACCATGAAAAATATCTGCGTCTTTGATAAAAAAGTTCATAAAAATGTCGAATAGAAGTCAATTTCAACTCTGTTGTTAGGGACTTAAGTTAGCTGTATATGTTTTCGTTTGTTTTGTATAAACCTGTAATGTTTGTCATGTTATGTTATTTTGAATTGGCTTTGTAGCAGTAGCTCAGGTTGTAGGGACACATTTCATATGGAACAAGTACACAGTGTAGAGACTTGTACCTGGAGAGGTGCCAGTTCTCATTCTGGGCGATGCAGGATGAGTCAGGCACCAACCCCCCCACTCCTAATACTATTAAAGGGTAAATTAAGAGTCTAAAATTCATACATTTGCTGCAGTGTACATGTGTGATGATAAAAAGAAGATTAGAATTCCTCCATTTTCAAATTGTGTCTGGTCTCGGGAGGCTACTAATAAATACCAAACTGACTCAAAGACATTATTACTAAACTAAAAGTGACTCCTGTGTGTCTATGTTGAAGAACTTTACAGTACAATTATAATTAGAAGAACACTTTGAAATATTGGTACAAATGTGTAAAAAAATAGTGTGTACAGTTTGTACAGTCTGTACATTTAAGGAGTGAGCTAAATAATGAAAACACCTTATCCTTGAAGTTACTACCAGTTTAGTGAAGTTCATAAAGGGTGTTTGTTTTTGCGGTCTGTCATACAGTATGTTCCTTTTAGCTAATGCTGCTTTCGGGATTGTTATATTTTTCTCTTTGACACTTTACAATTTATGTAACAACGGCTGCAAATCATGACAACAACAGCTGCTCCACAAGTGAGTCACAGTCATTGTTAAATGCCAAAAAGCAGTATGCATTAACTTTCATATGGAGGTCTTTAATAACGCAACAGGTTTTGCACAGAGGTAGAAAACAAGCCTTATTATAAATTGTTGACTCTAATCTTTGCGATATGCGTTAAGTGCTTTTTTTTTGTATCTATTATTTTTCCGAATATACCAAGAAAGATATTTGTTAAACAAAGTGGCAAGTCAATACCAAACAATGGAAGTCATTGTAATGTCGAAAGGGTTGAAAAAGTGTTTTCAATTGCAAAATATGCAATCATTTTCCAAATAGAGAGAAATGTCTTTTAGTTTTCTTTTTTTGATGGTAAGTGGAGTAACAGGCTTGATGTAAAATACAAATCTCTGAGCAATACTACAAACTATGGCCTTAAAAAAGGAACATACTTGAGGAATATAGCATTTAAGAGTGAGGTGAGTCATGTGTCCACTCCCTCTCTGTATGCAGTCATAAGTCCTTTGTCTGCATACAAGTCTGTGTGGAACATGAAATGAATAAGATATGGAAGGTACTTTAACACAGTACTGTTGTTCAGTTAAAATGAGAAATAAGAGTAAAGCCAATACATTTTTTCTTAATTGTAATGTTCTACTGCACAAGAAGGAAAGTAATACAACATTATTTTTCTACGAATAAACACTATTTTGGCTTTTTTTGTTGTAGTTGCATGTTTTGGAGAATATAAAGCAAGGAAGCACTCTGGCATCCCGTCTTAACCTGGGGTTGGGTTAGGCCTACAAAAACAATAAATAAACAAAAACAAATGTTGACAATTGACAAAATAATACTCTTTAAAAGCTATATAAAGGCTAACATTCCAGTGGCAGAGGAAGATTGGTCCTCATTCATTGTGCTGTCTTCAAGGAAGGACGACCTGCACAACAGACCGCTCGTTAGTCAGCATATATTCAATACCTGACATTAACTAGTGTGAGTGTGTGTGTGTGTGTGTGTGTGTGTGTGTGTGTGTGTGTGTGTGTGTGTGATTACCTTCGGCCCCCCCAAGGCAGAGCTCCTCACACTCCTCCAGCTCAAGGAAGCGGTTGTCGTTTCCTTCACAGCCGCTGTAGATGAAGGGCCTGCAGGCTTGAACCTGGCTGTTAAAGTACCAACGCATCGTGTACCGTCCACAGCTCCCCTCCTCCATGGGCAGCAGGCACACGTCTGCTGGAGCTGCACAACACACAGACACACAGGTGAAGAGTGTGCACACCAAAAGGCACACACATTGAGTAAAGGGCCAGCGAGGTAGGAAGGAGCAGAGGCAGAACAGCAACAAAGGGCAACAGGGGACCCAAAACAAACATTCAAGCCCACTTAGATCAAACTTATTCAAACCATAGCGTCAATCCATTAAAGTACCTCATTTGCACTAATGTATTATTCTTTGTTCTTTTCATTTTACTGGATGCATTACTGCCTTTCAACAGTCAACAGCAAATGCAGCCTGAGACATGCAGAGAGGGCCAGACACCAGGCAGGAGTACCCCTGATCCCATCCCAGAACCAGTCAACAGCACGGCCGCGGGTTTACCTTCCCCATTGACTCTCCTCTTGGACCTGACTGATCTGGACATGACTGCTTTCAGAGTGGTAACTTTGGCTGCTTTCTGACCACCATCTTTTGCTGTTTTCTTAACATCAGCTGAGGCTGATTTTTTTGGTTGAGCTTTGACTGTTTTGTCAGTGTTATCCTTGACAACCTCACCTGTCAACAGACACACACAAACACACAGGCGCACACACAAACACACACACAGGAATCGAAACATTCAGTAAATAAAACCAAAAAAAAGAGACATTTTGCATTAATGTGTTATTGGGTTTAAAGAACACGGTCCACGTTAAAGTTCACAGTCATTCAGGATGGTGTGTGCTTGTAGCTTGCGTGTGTGAGAATATGAATGGTCAACAAAGTCTCGTAATGTTATGAAATGAGCACAAAGTTAAACAGAAACACTTAATATGAGACATATTCCCCATGCGCTAATTTGATTATGTGTCAATTGAATAAACCATAGTATTGGACACAAGCAAAGATTTGACTTGCCATCTTTTGTTTATCAAATGGAACTGAAATGTTTGCAGCGTGTGATTGAATTTTGTTAGAGTTAGGGACATTGTAATTTAGATAAAAGGCAAATCCCAGAATATGGCATCCTTGTTATTGTTCTCCTATTTTTGTCTGTTGTGACTGAACATTTTAATCATCTAATCCATTTTAGACTTCAGCATAATCATCATAACAGATTAATATAAATAGAAATGTGGTCCTATCAATAAGCTTAAATCATTTCTTTGAGGATAGGATAATGATTTGGTCATGATTAAATCATTTTGCACAAAAATCAACACTCATTTGATTGTATACGTTTGGAGAGGTTGCTTGATTTCAGATGTACAGTATACTAGGACTGCACTTTCTGGAAAGAATAACTAGTTGCGATTATTTTACCTCATACTTCATTTGCGATTTTACTCCAGATATTTCTGGGAATTACCCTTTTTGAAACAATAATCAGATTATCCATCAAATGTTTTTTTTTAAATGATCATGGTGTAATTTCTTAAGAGTATCTGTATCAAACAAGTAGGTTTTGTTAAGTCTGTGGAATACGGCTTGTAGGCCAGGACTTCTCTGCAGCACCACAATAACTCATCAATTCAGATATCTTCACATCATTTGCTTTATCAAATATTGCACTTATGTGATTGGATATTGGATATTGCTTACTGGATATTGCCCTAGACCATATTGTAATCCATATTAAACGTAGTAAGTGCTCCTAATTTTATCTGTGTTTTCAGTACGTTTTCAAGGAGACACATGCATGCCGGCTTGCACACGGGCAAATAGCAAGCCAACATGGATGTAACCATGTAGATTTCAAACTCTTCCAAAAATCTGTATTGCAAATTTTATTTTGAGAAGTGAAAACCACAAACTGCTTGTCGGGTTATCGAATACCTTCAGATTCTAATAAACACCAGAAGGTACCTTAGACATTTTAACTTTGGGAAACTTTCAACTTTCAAGCAGGGAACACTTTCAATTTCTTAGACAATGTGCTCATTTTGCAAGTTTCACACGAGACCAGGTTGGCTGAGGAGGTGCCCAGTGTGTGGGAAAAGTGTTATTTCAATGTGTGATAACGTTGGTCACTATGACACACTGTACCATCACTCTGGTTTGCAGAAGGAGTGAAGTAGAGCAGCTCGTCTAAAGGTTCGTCGTACGCCTCAATGGAGTAGATGTGTTCGTAGTCCGGGTCGTTGGTGTTCACCACCACACGCAGCTCACGACCTGAGAAATGTAATGTCACACAGGTCACATCCTTCACCTCCGTCACCACGGCCCATGATTCACATAGCAGGAAGGCCCTTTTAGCTCAAATTAAGAAGCGTCTAAATAAAGGTATTGTAAAATAAAACCTGTTCACTTATATTTAATACAGGGCTTTTGCAGCTCCCAGTACATATCCAAACGGCTCCATTCTATTGAACTTTTTAAATCTCAGCTAAAAACTCACCTCTGGCACTGGCTTTTAATACTAGTTGAACATAACATGTTGACATTTGTATGTGTTTTTATATGTTTCTAGTTATTGTGCTTTTTATCTTGTTTTTAATTATTGTTTTATTATTTCTCCTATTGTGTTATTTGGTCAACTGAGGTCGTTTTAAAATGTGCTATATAAATAAATAAAGATTGATATTCATAGCGATTATATTTGCCTGGATACACAGAACACATTAAGTGGGACGTAAATGGAGTTCTCTGTTTTCTTGATGAGAAAACCACCCATTGTTCAGAGATCTCCAGATGCAGCACCACAAGTTAAAACTGTTTGTTAGAGACGGATAGCAGACAGACACACAGATCGAGGGCGACCAGACAGGCAGAGCGATGGACGGACACACTCACCCTCCTTACCCTTCACGACCAGCTGTTGCTCTGGTGTAGGCCGAGCCCTGACCGGGGGCTGGGACCGACTTACTCGGTCTGAACCTGAGGAGCCAGATAGAGAAGATGGAGGGGACAGGGACACCGAGGGAGCAGAGACAGGATTTAGGAAAGCGGGATGAGTGTTACACAGGAGGGAGAAAAGGGGGACCGGAAAGCTTAAATAATGTAAAAAAAAAAGAAGAAAGGACCGAGTATTCTGGTAGTAAAACGTTCAGAGCCAACTACAACCCATAAGCACCACAAAAAATAATTCCAGCGTTCCAACATACACACCAGCTAAAAGGATTTACAGAGTTTTTGCAAGACTGGTCAACACATGGCAATCTTCCAAAGACTGGCTGTAATCCTTTAAGGACACAAGTCACTGCTTTATGGACTTGTGTCGCACTCGAGTCAAATATCTTTTGACTCGAGTCAAATCAGCGCAGATTCAACTTAACACCCCAGACTCAAACCGTGACCGATTGCAAATTATGAAACTTTTTCTTAGGTAATAATAAATGAATTAAACATGAGCGAAATGTGTGTTTTGGCCTCATTCTCAGTAACACTGCATATTTATTAACTGCTGCTTCACAACACAGATGACGTTTTGAATTGATTAGCAGTTCAAACAAACACATTTGTCAAAACTTTAGGAAAAGTTGATCATTTTGAGTCTATAATGGCCATTCCTTCTCACTGGTTAGAAAAATGTGTTGTTTATTTCAGCTAGTTCAGATGATATGCAATATAATAGAAAAGCCATTGCCTTCGTTTGAGCATTGTGTCCAGTGATGTGTATTAACATAAATTATCAACAACAAAAGTATACACAAAATAAGCCATTTCAGTCCATTAATCAGATTTTTTAAAGATGTATCTTAGGCAGGATCCCCTGCACAGGATGCAGAGAGACTTTTTAAGATTAATCTTAAAAAGTATTGGACATTAAGCTTATATAACCCCATCTTGACTTTGACCCCAATGCTGCCAAAAGTTAATGTCTCTGTGTTATTTTTGTGTGCATGAGGTCAAATGCTCATTTAAACCACACACAAATGCTTAATGAGGGCAAATGCCCCAAAGCATTCTACTAATATATAATGTATGAGACTGACTGCTCTCAGGACAGACTCTGCAGCAGCATATGTGGTATAGCATACTGCTGTGACTCATGCTAAATCACAGCCCTCTTCGGCTGCAGTCGAATGGCTCACTTACCTCCACACGCTGAGGATCAGACAGATGGACAGGAAGGAAGCAGAAAGAGAGGGAAGAAAAAAGGTCAGTCTAAAGAGTCATGGCTTTGTTGTAGTTCTCTTCAGCTCTTTCAGTATCTTACTTTGATAGGGCTCAGTGGAGGCTGTGACTCATGTGCTGTGATTACTATCTGAAGTTCAATTTGGGGACAGCTGTTATAAATAAGCAATGCAAGCTGCATGAAAGACTCACCACAGTGCTGACCCATCTCCGAGCGAACGTACTCTCTCACTTCATACTCCTGAATTTAAAATAAAGAGTGGAAACAGATGAAAAAACACATAGCTTTAATATAAACTCTGCATATGTTTGTGTGCTCATTTGTGTCCGCCTGTTCAGATTGAGCCCCGCGGTTCAGCTTTAGCACTGACCGTCATGCCTGGCTCTCCTCTGTCTCCCTTGATTCCATCTAGGCCCAGCTCTCCCTGCAACATGTACAGGTAGTAAGACACACACACACACACACACACACACACACACACACACACACACACACACACACACACACACACACACACACACACACACACACACACACAGAGAGGCTTGCATTAATACATTAGGCTGAGACCAGGTGCGGCACATGACCTAAATACAAAGTCAAAGTGAAAAGTCAAAACTGCAATTGCCACTTTTACATATACCGTACATTCAATAAATGTAATCAAACTTGGTTTGCCAGTGTCTACATACTGTGTATGGAATCCATTTGACAAACTATATATGAAAATAAAGCGGAGAAAGCTCTGATAATATGTGGTCGTCATTTGAGATTAGAAAATAAAACCCTCTCTCTTTTCCTCCGTACCCAAATCTTTTAAAAACGGGGCTACAACGAGCGGATACAGATTCCATCCGAGCTCACGTCAGCCCGGAATAGTGTCCGTTAACACGAGACGTGTCTGTTCACACGGCGACAAAAGCAACGAAGAAGACTTCCCGCACATGGTTGCCATGGTTGCCCTTGTGTTTATTCTCCGCTGTGGACGCTCTGGCTCTTTTTCTCCCTCCCCGAGGCAAGAGTTTGCTCCTGCTGCTGTAATTCTCTCCGGTAGTCCACCAGCAGATGACAAGCACCCACCTTTCCGCCTCTTCCAAGGGACGAAGGGACCGTACGGCAGAGTTTCAGTTCGATTTTTTTTCGCCGGTCAACATGTCCGTTGAAGTTTAAATCTTCCGGACAAAATTAGAAAAGTGCCGGTCAAAGGTTTTCTTTGTTATTTATTGAGCTTTAAAACAAATGAATAACAACTCTATATAATCATATAAGAATAATACACGGAGGAGCCTCTCTTTTCCTCTTCTGAGAGCCCAGCAGCTGATCTCTGACCACGCTCCCCTCTCCTGCAGGGGGCGTGGTCAGCTGCATTTAATTTGCATTAAAGCTACGTCACAGAATCAGCCCTTGCAAAAACAGGGCTGGAATAGAGCAAATAGAGCAAAATGAGGCATGGCTAAAATGCATGATCTGTTTGGTATTTTGAAAAGAAAACTTCACAGACATGCTTTATATAGGTATGGCCCTACAATATATTTTTCAAATATAGCATGATAGGTCCACTTTAACTTCCCGACCTGGAAAGGCTTTTTTTTTTTAAAATCAAAGATGGCTGCCAAGAACACAAATGAGGAAATAAGTGTGACACTCACCTGCTCTCCGCGCTCCCCCGAGACTCCTGGGATACCGCGTGGACCCACCATGGAGGGGCCGATCGGACCTCTCTCTCCCTGAGACACAGGGAAAACAACATTACAACACAAACTATGTCACAATTTGTAACTGGCACAACAATTTCCTTCGGGATAAATAAAATCCTATCTTATCTTGTTTCTGCAGTGGATATATTTAGAACAAAATGTACATTACAAGTTTAAAAAATCATGTTACAAACTATCTTATTGTCCCTGTGTACATATTCCCTGGAAGTGATATTTTGTCTGCATAGTGTCAGTGAAAAAAAGAAAGTTAACTGTTCAGGTTGAACTTTATTTCCATTGTACTTATGCTTCTTCAAACCAGATACTGTATTCAAAACTCAAACGGATGATTCAGACATCAAAGCTACAAAGAATACAACTTTAATACTTTCATTATGCAGTTCTGGTTCGTTGTGTCCTTTTAGGTTGTTTTTAAAGTTGTTTCTTGGTGTTTATTGCTTTTCCATCCTATTAACAGATGCTCAGTCTTCCTTTCAGGCTGCACCCTAGCTCAAATATTGTTTTGGAAAATGAATGCAACTAGGTTGACTCAATTGGAAAAAAAGGTGTGCTCATCAAAGACACTCGATATAGCCCTGCTCTCCTGTCACCGGCTTTCTTTATTTACTTGATGATGCAGCAGAAAGGCCCATCTAACTGTCAATCAACATGAAGCAATACACAGCAATCAAAACCAGCAATCAGGTGAGGAAGAAGAGGAGAGCAAACTCAGGAGTAATACAAAAGTCTCTATTCTATTTATGGCAGTCTTGCATTATATCCTAAATGTCACAACTGTCAAAAACGAAAAAAGTATATTTGTTGCCACTCACGCACCTCTGACTGCTGAAACTGTGTGCAATCACAGTGAAGCCATTGTACCTTGTCTAATCTTACTCCATTGTACATTTGTGTTCTTTGCTAGGTCACCACTAAATGTTCACAGTTTTGATTAATGGGGCACCAATGAACTGTTGTAAGAAAGGCTTGTTTAATTCGCATATGTGTATGTATTAATTACCTTGTGTTCAAATTGTTGACGAAGACTCTGTTTTTCTCAAATGCCTCAACAGTAACCAAATAATCAAAAAAACTGAGACAATTCTTGATGAAGCGAAGTAATTGGGTTCAGAGTTTAGCAAAAGCAAAACTTCCCAAACACATGAAACGATGCTAAAACCATGGCGTTTAAAGCACTTCCACATAAACAACATTTGCACGGACAAGTAGCACACCTCTGCAAATCAGAGACCTTGCGGTGTGAGTTTGTAGACAGATGTTTAATAGTGCTGCTGTTGTTAAACACAACAACGTTTATCTGTTTTTGGATTCTCACCAACGTGTATGTTCAAAAAAAAATTCCGAAGGTAACTACATTTTGTGAATAAAGTATTATTTGTATAGACTGCCCCTATATATGTGACGTGTAGAATTTGTCGCACTCCAGCAAAAGTAAGGAGAATCACCTTTTGTCCCTGAAGACCCTCTGGGCCACCAGCACCAGCTGGTCCCTGAGTGCCAGTCAGGCCCGGGACCCCGTCCACTCCTCTGAGGCCGGGGGGGCCAGGGAGGCCAGACGGGCCCTAGAAGAAGCACAGAGACAGTTATCTATGGATCTCAAGGTTTCCTGTAGTTGTGAGAATGAGCGATGTTGTGCTTCTGATAGTACACAGAGATAAGGAACAGCGTGTACGGTGAATCTCAAGCTGAAGTTAGAAACTCACCCTTTCACCTTTCTCTCCCTGAGCTCCTTTGGGTCCTCCAAGCCCGTCAAAGCCACGGTCACCCTAAAACAGACTGACACATGAATTCCACCGTTCCAACATACACACCAGCTAAACGGATTTACAGATTTTTTGCAAGACTGGTCAACATCCAAAGACTGGCTTTAATCCTTCAAAGACTCAAATCGCTGCATTATGGACTTGGTTCGCACTCGAGTCAAATAAAAGTGGTTACACTTTATGTTCGGACACATTGATAGTTAGAGATAATAAAGTACATACCTTGGGGCCCACTATTCCCTCTTTTCCGGAGATCCCTGAGACCCCAGAAGGTCCGAGCTCCCCCTGGGGAACAAAGAGCATGCCTGTAGATGCCAATCTCAACTGTCACAGGAAGGAATTTAATGAAAAACTTAATTTTTTATACCAAAGATATTACTCATACCTGTTCGCCTTTTCTTCCTGGTAGGCCTGATCGCCCATGAATACCAGAATCCCCCTGAACACACACATTCCGATTCAGCCAATGTTTAAATACTCACCACACTGTACATGAATCATGAATGTCTGACTCATATAATTTATACAACTCTGAATTATAATCAAAACATTACACCACTAGCTATTAGAGAAATGTTAACATGCTTCTGTTTCTTTGTTCATTATTTGGACAGAATAAAAACCCAAGTGTCAAAATTCCAGTGGGTGGGAAATTATCCCTTTTACAATTTCTGTATTCATGCTTATTTCTTCTTTTCTTCTTCCTCCTACAAAATGTTCTCTGCCTGTCTAAATCCCACCTTGCCTCCTTTGGGTCCATCGCCTCCACAAGCCCCCTTGGGTCCTCGGTCACCCTGGAAACACACAAGTTCATCATTGACAGAAGCATAATAGAGAGGCTTGTGAGTCACAAAAGGGACAAGACGTTCCATACCAGACAGACAGAAAGACAGACAGAGAACCCATCTATAGATACATTCAGTCCTTTCACCTGCCAATCAGACTGCAGCATTGAGCACTTACACATAGAGTGGACATGTCACCAGCTACTTCTAAACATCGGCGGACATGAGGCGGAACAGGGTGCTATCATTCTCCTGATAACGGGTGTTGAGACAAGTGGCAATACAGCTGCAGAGCTCTGGCGGATGTTGTCTGTTCCAGCCGGGCTAAATCCACCCTTACATGTGATAGCACACTGGTATTATCTTCAAACGAACACAGTGAACTTGGATGGACTTTTTCTTTCAACATCTTTCTTTATAGACTTAAAATGTGGCTAGTATTTCACACAACTTTAGTACAGAATAAAATGAAGAGTCTGAACTTTGAGCTTAGGGTCTGAAGAGTGAAGCCAATGCCAAGGGCCTTAAACGTGCATGCTCTGTAATATCTAGCACTGGTTTCAAAAAGAGGTTGGATTGTATAGAAGTCTATAAGAAAATTAACCTACTTCTCGTATAATTTTTTTCCTGACAAGTTTATTATCTTAATTGCTGGTTAAGTCTTGTTTACAGCCTTTTCCAGTGTGTTTTCAGTTGATTTATTTACATTTATTACAACATCTTTGTTGCCTAAAAATGTATTTTTAGGTGTTTGGTTGTACTTAGATCCACCCTCTTTTGTCACTGATGGTTGAAAAAAGACAAGATGGAGGCAGTATAAATATGGAACTGGAGGCTTCAGAACCAAAGTCCATGAACCAATTGTGACGGCTCGGTGGGGAAGGGATACAGCTAGCCTGGCTCTGCCAACATTTGTCTTCTTGCATCGCAGTAAAGCTCATTAATAATTTGCATTAATTGTAAATGAAGACGGTGTAGAATTGTAAACTTTGGACAGATTCAAACAAGCTATATTTCCCTAAATGTTGGAAAGTTATTTTAAAGCTTCAAGTCTCATCCACCTGAACATTTTTAAACGTTGTGCATTTTAAGAGATGTCTGTGAATGTGATGTATATATAGGGTATATATATGGTAAATGGACTGTACTTATATATGTATATATACATAAGTCCAATTACCATGATCCTTTTTTGTATTTGATTGTGTGTTGAGTTTGTTGCAAATCTTCTGTCTGTACTTATATTTCCTGCCGCACTGTGTTCTCCTTTGCAAAACAAATCTTTATCTGTACTAGATTACTTAATAAAAGGTGATTTTAATAAGAAAACAACCTACGAATAATCACCTTTATATTTGATTCTTTCAGTGATTGAAATGTTATTCAAATAAATAATTGAAGTGAAGGAAAAATGGCTGAAAAAAGAAAATCTAATTTCTGGGTATTAATCATCATAATGTTAGGGTTAAGGCAAATATTCTGCAGGCACATTTTTTAAACATAATTTGCAGTAATAATCTGCAATCATATCAATGTTAGGAATTGAATTGAATTGTGAACTGCATCACTGGCTCCTGAAAGGTGCTTCAAGGTTGAAACCACACAGAATGAACAAGCAGCGTCTCTCTCACACACACACGCGCACACACACACACTGAAAATACCTTGATTCCCCTCATTCCTACGATACCGAACTCTCCTTTATCCCCCTTATGCCCCAGCAGCCCGTCTTTTCCTGATAAACCCTAGAAGATAAAACAGAAACCGTTCCTTTCTCTGTCCAGCAAAGAGAGAAAACCATGCACAGAAAATGCTAAATCTGTATTTTGATGGAATTAAAATCACAGACCGATTCACCAGGTACCCCATGTTGGCCTGCTTCTCCCTACAGACACACGACAGGATTACAGTAATTAGAGCAGTCAAATTACTACGTGCACTGATTACTGACTGGCTTTGCTAATAATTATGACACTGATTCAATCACAATAATCATCCGTGCTCAGCGTTGCTCACCTTCTGTCCACCGGGCCCACGGGCACCCGGGAATCCACTGGATCCTCGGTCTCCTGGCTCTCCCGTGAGACCCTGATGTCAAACACATACACAGACATATGAAATTGATCACTTGTTATATGAATACACTTGAGTGACATCTGCTCTAATTATTGCAATATCAATTATTGTCTAAATGTAATGTTTTTCTGGTTGCCTTGTAGTGTTGTAATTATTTTCTTTTGTTATTTTTTAGTGTTGCAAAGGGCAGTACAGACATTGTTTTGTGTGACATACAGGTATTGATAATCAAAACATTGTCACATAGGAATAAACAAGAAGAGAACAAAGATGAAACGAGACAGAAGAAAGCTAACAAACCAAAAAAAAATACTTTGTGATATTTAGGTGATTCATATTTCTAAGTTAAAATACTAATTGATGCAAGAGATCAGATCCATGTTAGTAATGACAAAATATCAACCACGTCTTATTTAGATTTCAAATGATTTAATGCTTAAAATAAACAACGTATGTTATGGCAATAAACAATCTTACCTGCGCTCCTAGAGGGCCCTCTTGACCCTTCACCCCCTTTCCTCCCTGTACACCTTTGGGTCCCCTGTCCCCCTATAATGGAACAACAGTTAAATCAACAACAAGCAAAACCAAATGTACACTCTGTGGATATTTTCTTTATTCCACATCAGGACCATCACTGACCGTTTCTCCTTTGTTGCCTTTTTCTCCACCGGGTCCTCCCACCAGCACCGTGTCCCCCTGTGAGTGACAGAACAGCTGTAAACATCCAACGCCAAAACATCAACGCAAAACGATTCATCCTGTCGTCTTCTCCTGAGTGGTGTCACTTACACTATCACAGCTAATCAACGTTGTGTGTATTCATATATTCCTTGCTATTGAAAGGGCTCGTTCAAAACAGCAAATATCCGCACAATATGTTTTTTTTTTCCTCTTTCATTTCTTTGTTGTCTCAATGTCATCTTGACAAATACAAAAATGTACATAAAGAAAGAGAGTAAAAGAGAGCAACTATTTTATACGACAGTAAAATGAACTCACCTTCTCTCCTTTGTCACCTTGCAACCCAAGGTCTCCCTGAAAAAAAAAAGATAGAGGGCAAAACATTTCAGTCAGGTCTGTCAATTTATTCTGCACTAAACATAAGCAGAAAGCTTGGGGGACCCAGCTAGCATGATGATACATTAATGGGGAAAGGACTGGTAGTATTTACCTTCTCTCCCCGGCCACCACGAATCCCTGCGGGACCCTGACAAACACATAAGCACACATTATTTGCAACTGCACACAGAAATACCAACGTCCATGTTTCTAACTGCAGGCTTGACAGCAAAACTGAAATCCCAGTGATGTCACGACTCCTCAGGGTGTACAGTTTGATAAAAGGTTCAGCACAGGTTGATCCTTTCTAAAACTATAATCACTGCAACGCTGTGAGGGAGAATAAGGCCTATTAAAAAAAAAGTTTACAATCTAAGATATCCATTTTTGTAAAAACAGCTTGTTTATTCTAATGATTTCTGCATGTGTTTTTCCATGTACGCCTTCATACAGACTGACTCATGGTTAAAGAAGGCTTTTGAAAAACACAACAATGAAAGCTCAAGAAGAAAGGCTTTGGGTGATGTTCCTGAGTGATGGATACAAATTAACTCTTGGTATTTACCGTTGTCCCTCTCTCCCCATCCAGGCCAGCACGACCCTCCTCTCCCTAAGACATAACAGAAAGGAAAAGGTACACAGAGTTTCTATCATCCAGAGGCAGATTAACATTAGATCACATCTTCAATGTTGTAAACGATATCTTACTCTCAGCCCTGAATCTCCTCTCTCTCCTCTGGGACCGGGGACACTGGCGCCGACTTCCCCCTGGCAACAGAAATATTTGCTCAATTAAAAACAACTGTTGACATTAAGGCAGGTAGACAGGAATATGTGTCTGCTAGGATAGTCACCTTGTCTCCTTTGCCCCCGTTAGTACCAGGAGAGCCCTAGAAAAAAACAAAGTATTGCATTAATCATTGTTGTCTCTTGTACTTTCTCAGCCTTAACAAAATAAAAAATATTTGCACATGTCCTAACTTAGGAAACCATCTATAAGACAACAAAAAACAGAAGTTAAGCAGGGTAAAAAGTCACGCCTAAATCATTTAATTGAATCTGAGGCTAGCTACTAATTGCAGTGTAATTAAAAAGGGATTTAAACTCACTGCCTCTCCAGGGGGTCCAGAAGGACCAGGGGGTCCGACAGTTCCTGCACGGCCTCCAAAGCCCTGTAGGCCCTGAAACACAAGACCTCAATAGTTGAAAATCAACCACCAGCATTAAAACAGATAGCATGCAGTATAATGAAGTCAGCTGCTCCACTGACCCTCTCCCCTGGTGGTCCTGGAGGTCCTAGTTGTCCAATTTCTCCCCTCAGGCCAGGCGGCCCAATATTCCCTGCCTTCCCCTGCAGCCCCGGAGGACCAGCTGGACCTGGAAGGCCTGGATCTCCCTGAGTGAAGCCAGAGTTAGATTTTGACATGTGGCACATCTTATTAATCATCATTTATACTGTAGCGAACCTCATGCTGTTACTCACCTTCAAACCTTGAGGCCCGTCCCTTCCAGGAGGCCCTGCCTGCCCTATGCCCTTCTCTCCCTGCAACAAACATTGTGTCATAACTGTAGCATGGATTGGGTTTGATTTCAGGCTTATTATTTAAACACAACAGATCCTTACCTTATCTCCTTTTGACCCAGAAGATCCTTGTGCCCCCTGCATCAAAAACAGATATATAGGGGTTTGGAAACTGGAATAACTGATTGAAACCCATACCAATAAAACATGAAACGGAAACATGTCAACTATTGTTATATAAAACACGCATGAATAATAATATCTTACAGTTGCAGTTTGTTTAAAGTATTACACATTTCTGTATGCCCACCAAATACTGGTTTGCCATTATTATATCACTGTAGACACATTTCATCAGTATTGGTGTGTACTGTCAGAAGTTTAGTTACACATCAAACACCTCGTTAACCTCAAGGATAACAAATAATCAAAACCTCAAGCATCAGAGGAGATTGGTCTCAATTACAGTGGACACTTTTAGATAAGAGGTCTAGAAACTTCAATAGCACTGCTGTTAAATGTTTGATTAGGGATGAATGAAATATTTGACAGACTTTCAAGGAAGGGACTTTGACAAAGCATCCAAATACATTATAAAACCAATAACTGTTTAGTGGTAATAAAAGTTTATCTGAATAGCTCTTCAGCAGCGATTCAGACATAATCGACAGGCTATCTTTTTATACACAATGTCATTTGAGAATATTTTAACAATATTTTTTTTATTCGTTGACATCTTTGTCCCCATCCTGATAGAACTTTGCCCCAAATGACACCCCTAATAGTAGTGTTATGTCGGTATGAAACTTCATGGATAGACGATCGCCTTAGACCTTTGGGATCAGAAGTCTATTTACACAACCCAAATCCACAAAATGCAGAAAGCAGTGGCAGTAGGAGCGGATTACTTACATCTTCTCCAGGCTCTCCTGCTTCACCATCCACTCCCTAGAATAACGAAAGGTAGCACAACGTGAACTTTTAGTTTAGTTAACTTTATGAATATGTTTCCCCGCTGCATGACGGTACTCACTCTCTCTCCTTTGTTGCCACCAGCACCTTTGTCTCCCCTGTTACCCTGAAACAAAGCAGTTATGATACCATATTAATGAAAAAGCACTTGACATTTCCACGCTGGTGTCTGGTGGCACTCGCTGAGAGGGAACCTTCAGTGCTAATGCTTTCGATCACCCTCACCTTTTCTCCCAATAGACCTCTCTCTCCAGCCGTTCCTGGCAGTGTTTGACCACTAAGACCCTGCATCAATCATAACCAGGAAAGAGATGTCAGCTCTGTTCTGCTTCCTCTATTTCATACATTGTTTTAGTCTTTCATCTCTGCATTTACTGGGTATGTTCAGTTCAATGGGAAAAAATGGTTAATGCTAATAACAGGGACTTACCCTCTCTCCCTTCAGTCCAGGGGGTCCAGCCACAGCCTGAGTGCAGAAAAATGGAGAAAATAATAGTAATTACATGTGCAGAATTGTAAGGGTTCTTGATGGAAATGTACACTTAAAAGTCATGGTATTCAAGTAGTATATGAACCGTTTGCTTTTCCGGCTTTCAAAGATGAAGAGTCTTAATGTCTTTTGTGTGGACAGCCAATTTAATGCACAACACCTACTACTTATCCACAATCTATATTTTTCTTCTCTGTAGGAGGCAAGGACATAAAACTTCCTTGACAAATGCTTGTGTTAATAACGTAATTTTGAAATCGTCGTTGACAATTTAAGGAACAATTTGTGGTAGTTATTGCTCACAATTTACTTTGTGAAGTGCCGTTTTTCTTGTTTTGGGCATCTCACATTTTAATTCTGTGTTAACAAAATGACAAATTCCAGAAAGGTTTTCAGGGGCAAAAAGGAAGCTCTACTGCTTTCATTCTGGAGGACTGAAACAAAACAAAAAGCTGCGGGGTTGGAAAATGCAATGTTACTTCATCTAAATGAGTTTGGGTGTGTGTACGTGTGTGTTTAAACAAATGGTGGAGCGTTTGAGCAGATGGGCAAGTGTTGCCTCGTTATTCATCAAACGAGTGAACTCACTGACAGAGTCACTGCGGCTCTGTCCAAGGTGCTGAACCTGAGGCAGTCAGCAGTGAGGGAGCTATTCAAAACACTCATCACGATTCATGTGAACATAACAAACAGCGGGAATGGCGGCGAATACCAAGAACCTGACGAGCAAGCTCCTTTTTTGTATCTTTTTCTCCAGAAACTTTTACTAGCAAAGAAACTCCTGTGAGGAGTTTAACCTTCTGTTTGGTTGTTAAGACGGAGACCATATGCTGCAACATCCCTGCTTCCACTCCAGCTGGGCACCTTACATGTCATACCCTTCTCTCTGATAAAGGTCACAATATGATATTAACTTAAGGTAGAGACAGAGTGTAGAAGCTTTTAAAGCCACACAAGAGGCTACTCTAGCATAGCATGTGAGTTTGAGTCGGATACCTGCTACCATACATTAAGTTAAGCACCATATAAAAAGGCATCATGTGTAGGAAAATCGAAAAGATTTACAAGCAAACATTGTTAGAAAAGGAGTTAAACAATACATAAATCAAACAAACGTTTTCCTGATGACAGATGTAATTTGCTCAACAGCAACACCACATAGGAGTACAGTCCACACTCATAAGTTAGAGATTGGTGTTGCTAACTGCAATAATAATAATAATATTAATTTGTGAACAAAAAGGTGTTTTGAGCCATGTTTCATAAGAGACAAACAGCAGCGATGATGTTATGTGATTAAGTGATGAGCCCTTCAGAGAAAAAGTTGTGAATGTATGTGACCTTCTCTGTCATTTTCTGTCTCATTGAGCTGAATGTGGCTTAATTGTGATCCTCATCAGCAGTATTGGCAAAGACATTGTCCTGCCGAGCCAATCCCTATTAGATGCCTGCAGTCATTCAAATGCAGGCAACTGGCAGGCAATTATATGTTGGTGTCAGTGGTGAGGTGGTTTCCATTTGAAGGCTGAGAATGCTGCATGATAATACGTTGAGTATTGCAAAATGTATCTGTCTGAGGGCTCTCTTTTTTTAATATCCAAACTGAATTCTGACCCGCCAGGGATGTTGCTAACATCGCACTTACAAGATATATATACATTTACACATACAATCCAGACCAGCTTTTTTGCCCCTTCAGACCGACAGTCTGGTACAGAACGCTCAAGCCAATTACCCATGAATCTTTGCAAGGATTTAGCTGAAATACACATTCACAGTTGGCTCCTCTGTTATTTTTAGAGTGGGAGGCAAGACAGGCCTCCACAGGGTTTTTCCCCATTTAGCTACCATTCTGCGAAAACACTCCAGGGCTGTGCTGCACCAGATAATACAGACCTGTGAGGGTAGTGCGAACAAAAGAAAGAGTGACAATATATGTTCCTGATAAGTGAGAACTCATTTTGCTGGGTGAGCAAGTGCCAGAGAATTTGCTTTTTGAATGTCAATCAATAACAGTCGCATAACAGAGAAATCCCACTGAGACAGCTCACCCGGGAAAATGGAGGTCTTGTAGTACTGCGTAATCCCTGCTCAAAATAGCCATCAAATGGGGGGGATTTTTTTGCATGCTGGATATTTAATATTACTACTAGGTAGCTTACTGACAGAAATAATGTCCTTTGACTTGTAACTTGTAAAAATGGTGTCCCTATACTGTTAAGCAAAATCATTGAGAGAAGTTAATGGAGATAAAAAATTAACGAAAATGCTTTCATACAGATCTACAGACCTCTCATACAGAGGCAGCTGTATTCCCACAGAGAACTGGACATACTTTAACGAAGAGACACACAATTAATTACCCACACCGACATATTCCCCAGGTAAAAGGTGTACTAGACCCCATCCTTTGCATAGAAGCGACATGAGAAACAAAAACGAGACCTGGCGAAATCCTGTCTGACCCAGTTTAGGATTTTTGATAAGACTGTCTTATCTTGGGATAGAAATAAAGCCATTACAGAACGATCGTTTAAAGATTCCTAAGTTAGGATGGCATAAACACTTCCCATAAATCAAACTAAATGTTTTTTAGTCTGTATGGAAATGACAACAAAGATGGGGAACAACATAAACACTATAATATAATTGTCAAAAGGCTATTAAAACTGCTCTTTACATTTCCAAGACCATATATAATTGGGAGTATACCTGACATTTCCTTTCCTCCATTGACTAGTTGCTCCAATTACTCATAGCTAAAATGAACCTCCATCTTTGTCCCTATTAAAGCAAACTACTGTTGCTAGACAATGAAAAGTGAGAGCTGTTGAAATTCAAATCAAATATACAGGCATGGTAGCTATAGTTAGGATTCAGTTATTAAAAAGTTATTACAAAAATGAATCACTTAATAATACTATCATTACCGACTGTATAGATAGGGGACGGATACAGGATAAGAGAAAGCAATGAATTTAGCAATTGCTTTTATAAAAGGAAGATAGAAAACAGCACACAGCTATCTCTTGGAAATGTAACTTAAGATAGGACAAGAAGTTTGACACAGTAGGTTTCTGTAATGAGTGGCCATATCTGCAACTTTCACAAAGAACTCCATTAATATCATTGATGTTTTTTGATTTAAACACCCAAAATGTATGCCCATTGTATTGTTGTTCCTGAATTTAACTACAGGCTACTGACAGATCCCCTCTCCAACATAAAATGTCTCTATTTTATGATGTTTTCAGTTTGTGAGCTGTTTAGAGCGCTAGTCATGTTCCTCTCCCTACAGGCTCAAGGCTCATACTGCTGCAATCTGCTCAGAGATACAATACAGAGCGCTACAATATCACACAGCTAGCAGCCACATAAAACCGACTCCTGGACATAAAGAAGAGTAAAGAATACAGGGATACAGGCAGCCCCAGTTGGACAAACAGCAGCAGCTCGAGCACGACCTCTAGAATAGGCCTCAGATGAAAAGTCTTGCAGTAGTAAGCCACTGTTAGCTTTACAGAGATGTTTCTTTTCTTCACATCCAATAAAAGCAATATCAAATACAATTGCATTGACTGTCTGCTGAGCCAGAGGCTGATGGGTAGAAACAGCATGTTCTCACCCTCCCTGGAGGACCACTGTCTCCCTGCTCCCCCTTTAAGCCGCCCAAGCCTGGAGGTCCAGCAATGCCCTGAGGAGCAAATTACACAATGATGTCACGAGGAGACCTGATGAAAACAGCTCAGTGCACACTAAACACTGTCGAACACAGTAGATTACACGCACACACACACACACACACACACACACACACACACACACACACACACACACACCTGCTTCCCAGGTAATCCATGTGTTCCTTCTTTCCCAGGCACCCCATCTCTTCCAGGGACTCCTGGTTTACCAGCTTCACCCTAAAAATAAAAAACACAAACGTCAGTATGTTTGATTATAATGTATGTCTAATTTACCTAGAACACCACAAATGATCAATACTATTGTTTTTTCATATTAGTGAGGTATGTTCAAAACAAACAGGAAACCAAGAAAATGGTCATAGAATGGCAGCCAGCTCAGGTTCGCATACTCACCACCTGCCCTGACAGCCCTGGGGCGCCCTGAGGACCCTGCAGAGAGAAATAAATACAATAGTAAGAAGGAACATAAAAAGATACACGTAATCAGATGTTTGATGAATTTCATGAGAAACATGAGGGCAGTTTTCCCCTGAAGATAAGAGGTGGCGACACTAACCACAGTTCCGGGGGGGCCTGCTGGTCCTGGCAGCCCTGTGCTCCCCTGGGCCCCCGGTGGACCCTGCAGAGAGCAACGCAATAAGTCACACACTGCACATCTAAAGCTTCACCATCTAAACTGGAATTTGATTAGGGCAAATTACCCTAAATCTCAAAGATTTTAGTAAGACAAGTAGAGAAGGGAAGTTGTTTTACCTTGACACCAACGCCTGGCTCTCCTTGATTGCCCTGTGAAAGAAACAAACTTGTTATGACTTGAAAGTAACAAACAAAAACATTATAAGAATTGTTAATTGAATTAAAAGAAGCATAGATGTCGTCACACCTAGGTCAGCAAGATATAGCTAACTCACCTTCACACCTGATGGACCTGGAAGGCCATTGGGACCCATGGGGCCCTGATCAAAACACAGACCACAAATATTTAAACTGCTGCTGTTACGTGTAGGGCAGAGACTAAGGATTATGTTCACTGTGTATCAATCGCTTGGTCTATGAAATCTAAAAATAACATGAAATATTGATCACAGTTGGTCAAAGTTCAAGGTGAGGTCTTGTTTTGGTAGTCCAAAAGCCCAAATATATTAAGTTGAATTAGATTTGTTTTAAAGCAGGAAATCTCTATATTTGAGAGGCTAAGAAAATAACTTGTGAAACAATTATCAACATAGTTAGCAATAGCAATTCTTTTTCTTAAGCAACTGATCGATTATTCGACTAACATCATGTATTTGTACCCATGCTGTTGTATGTGCAATACTTACAGTTGGCCCCCTCATGCCAGGCTCTCCTGGGTTTCCCTAAAAGCAAATACAAGTCACATACAGTAGATTGCATCCTTCAATTACTCACAAACCTGCACACATGCCACATTTTAAAGGAATACTTTGACATCTTGGAAAACCTTGTGTGCTTTCCTGAAGAGAGCCAGACGAGAAGATTGATATCACTCGTGTTAAATAAATATGGCTTCCTGGAGTCTGCCCTGATGGCTTGGTAACCCCACTGTCATGACGACACTCCAGGTAGCCACTGCACCCAGTAGGTCAAAAAAGTCCTATATGACAACACGTTGATAACCCTCCCAGTCTAACTATATGAAAGAAAGAGAATAACTGTATTTCCCAAAATGTCAAACTATTACTCATTGCAACATATTTATGCATAAATATGTTTCTAAAAATGTAGCACACAAGTTGTATTCTTCTTGCTCAATATTAAACAACATGGATTTTACATAAGTAATATAAAGACGTGCCACTGATTCTCACAAGCATCTCTCTAGGAGACACAAATAAACAAACACATAAACATCTGACTGACTCATAACAACAGGTACGACAACACAAACACAGAGGATCAACAATGTCAACAGATAGACACTCATATGGTAAGCTCTGAAAAATCCGTGCTGTGCGAGAGATAAGCACAGCAGCCAGCAGCAGGAACAGCTGCATGCACGATAAGCAGACTCAAGCGAATTGAAAACATAGTAATTCTACGAGCAAAATCCTAATTTCGTATTCCTCTCTACTGCTGTACACTGGATCGTGGTGAGAGCGTCAGCTCAAGATGTCAGCCGACTTCTTTTCATCTTTTCATACAAATATGTGGTGTTTCACAAGTTTAAAATGCGTGAGATTGGCCCAGATGCTTTGGGACAGGTGGTCTTGATTAATATGTAATGAGAAACTGATTAAGGTCTGAATCTTATCCCAGACTGCAGCTCCCAAAAGTATATTTCCAATACAAATAGTTTAAAAAGGGGTCAAATTGGCCTTGAAGGTACATGACAATGTGTGCATCCTGATGATGTGGTTACTTGTCTCCTGTTGTTTAATGCAAAAGCATCTACTTCCTGTCTAAGCTAAAGCGCATACTGTAGGTATCTCTAAAGCCTTGGTGCATTCCCCACACAGAGAAACATCTTCCCAGCTCCCCCTCCCCAGAGCTCAAGCATGCCATCCAGCCAGCAGCAGGAAACCTACCGGTCTGCCTAGAACTCCTGGGAACCCAGGCATGCCCTGGAGAGGATGGAAGATAGAGGAATATGGGTGACAGGAGGGTGGGGGGACAGGTGGGATGGCAGAGGGGAGACAAACAACACAAAAAAGGAAATGGACAGAGATAAGAAACATATGAGGAGAGAGAGTAGGTAAGAGGGAGGTGTTAGCTGCCCAGCTGCAAAAGGTTACTCTCTAAGATCTATGAAGACTCGGCCCAAGAGGGGAAAAGAGCTCCATAAGCCAACCCAGGGGTTTGCTGTGAAGACCAAGCCTAAGAGGAGGCCTCTTTGCTGGGTACTGGTTACTCACTGGTAGACCTTGAGGCCCAGCAGGCCCTGTTGGGCCCTGCTCCGACAAGGAGGGAAGGAAAACAAAGAGTGTGAGGAAGTGCTTAAAACCTTCCCTCTCCTTTATTTTCATTTATTCCTGCACCCGAGCAGACAAATATGTTATAGAGAACACAATTTGTGTATGGGATTTGAATGGTCACTGTAGATAAAATGGTAAGGAGAATGATAACAACTTAGCGTGTTCTCGGACGTTAACCGGAACCCTGCTGGTTTAATTTCTTACAAAGCTGAGTGCATTCATATATTTACGTATAACAATACTATAAACGACATAAGGCCAATACACAATAAGCAGGAATATAATTAGTATATTATTCACTATATATAACTAACTATATATTGTTATTCTCATAAGAAAGAAACACACTTACCTAAACTGCCGAAATAAATATTAATAAACAGTACACATATTTCGTAACCATCAAAGCCAATAATATAACATGCTCTACTAAAAAGGAAAAGGCACAATATTGTCAACTTCATTTTCAAAATTATGAATTAGTTCACATCAAGGGCTTCACGCTTACCGGTTTCCCATCCTGACCAGGTTTTCCTGGTTCTCCTGGTGTTCCCTGAAATAACAAAACACAGATTGCTACTTATTAATATATGGAATATTCTTTTATCATAGCATTAGTAGCAACAGTTAAATCAAAATAGGATCTTGATTATTAGAATATTCCAATCTAGATTCCATTCTATCAGTAGAGCCATCTACCTGTGAGCCGTCACGTCCGTTATCTCCAGACTGTCCTCTGTCTCCTTTATCTCCACGAGATCCCACAAAGCCCTTTAAGACACAACATATATATGTAGCTCATTAGCATATAGAAAACAATCAACGGTGCAAGACGTGAGATTTCCCATTATCTGTTAGTGTGTTTATATGAATCATATGAAAATCGTACTCGTTCTCCTTGAGGTCCTGGCAGTCCTGCAGCACCAGGTTCTCCCTTGTGTCCTACAACCCCTGGAGGGCCTCTGGCCCCGGGAGGTCCTACCAGTACTGACTCAGCAGATGCTCCCTAAAGTACACACACCAACAAACAAATGTGTATCTAATATTGACAAAACGTGCAATCTCCATAGTTTTACTGCATCGATAAAAAGGATGAGAAGAAGTTTACCTTTTGACCTGCTGGGCCGGCTAATCCTGTGATCCCAATTTTACCCTGAAAAACAGAACAAATTCTGATTCCAGTGCTGACTTGCTTACATATTGTATATAAAGAAACATTAATTTGTTCTTACAATGTTGATGTAGAGTTCCACAAAAACAATGTCAAACACTTACAGATTCTCCTTTGTCCCCTTTCTCTGCTCTGTCCCCCTGCAATACAAATATCATGTCAGCAGGAGGATGTGGTAATGAAAATATCTTCATTTTTTAACCCACCTGTCCTGAACTCACCTTATCTCCAGGTCTTCCAGCCTCCCCCAGTTCTCCAGCCCGCCCAGGAACCCCCGGTATCCCTGGTTTGCCCGACTCTCCAGCGGGTCCTGAGGGTCCCTGTGGACCTCGCTCTCCGATGGCTCTCCCTGGAGGCCCAGGATTTCCCACGATTCCTCGCTCCCCTTGATCCCCTTTTGATCCTCTCTCTCCTTGGAAACCACGGGTCCCCTGATGCACAGCAGGAAATGGAAAAAGGTAAACAAATCTACATTTTAAACACAGTTAACACAGGTGTGCCAGAACATGTTATTAGACATCAGGACAGTGTGCACCATCTGGACACGCAGTGATCTTAATGAGAGTCTTCATCACGTTTTTGTATTAAAAAAAAGACCTTAGTCATACTCACATCTGCACCAGAGGGTCCTCTCTGTCCAGATTCGCCACCGTCACCTTTGTCACCCTTAGCTGCCTTCTGCACTGTGGGAGCTTGCAGTGTGTCCTTTCTGTCCACAACCACCTTCAGATCAGACACCTGTGGCGAGGGGAGAAAGAGAAATGGTTGAGGAGAGCCTCGTAACTTTCAGCCACATGTGAGTGTCTGGGAAATGCTTGAGACCTCATTATAAGTCATTCAGATTTATTATAATAACTTGGATTCCAACATAAGCAGGGTCTTGTGATCATTTTTAAAATGAAAAAGCACAAACTCTGGTTTTGCCGTGAGGGATTGAGACATGTTTTTTTAACTGCAGCAATACTTAATAAGGTAAGCAGATTTCAGAGTGACATTCAATCTAAGAAGTGACAATACAGTCATAAACCTTGGTCTATATGTCATTATCACAACAACCCCAACATATTGCTGTGGCTTTTACTACTTAAAGGTCCCATGACATGCTTTTCCGGTTATTACCCGTTACCTTGTGTGTTGTGTAACTTTTTATGAATATAAACGGTCTGCAAAGTCACAAACCCTCAAAGTACACCGTGTAGCAAGTAAAACTCTAACAAAGAAAAGACGTGTCTATGCTGCCCCAGAACGCCTCGTTGGAGATTTTTCCTTTTCCATTTTTAATCTCTGCGGAGCTTCGCACGCACTCACACACACACACACACACACACACACACACACACACACACACACACACACACACACACACACACACACACACACACACACGACGACGACGACGACCGAACGACACCTCACACACACAACTCACTCACTCACACACACACACACACACACACACACACACACACACACACACACACACACACACACACACACACACACACACACACACACACACACACACACACACCTCACTCACTCACTCACTCACTCACTCACACACTCACTCACTCACTCACTCACTCACTCAGCATTATATTTTCTCAGCCGCGGCTCCGCGGATCTCCGCACAGCCTGGCTGTGAGTGTGTGTGTGTGCTCAGGCTGAGTTATGCGGTGTCTCGCTGTCTCGCAGACCCCACGCAACCAAGAAACTACACCAGTAATCCAGCTCACACTGTCCGCTCCTCGAGCCTCAAAGGGTGGAGCAGCGAGCCCCGCAACGTCCCACCAACACGGCACCCAGACCCCACGCAGCATTCTCATCTGTTTGTCATTAGTGGTGTCATTTTCTGGTTGCTAACAAACGCCATTGTAACACATAATCACTGATGTCCAGCTGTAACGGTGGTTGACTAATCAGAACAGAGTGGGCGAGCTGACCAATCAGAGCACACTGGGCTCAAGGGAGGCGGCAGGAGCTCCAACAAGCCGTTTAGGTCAGAGAGTGAACACACATACTATACAGAGATGCTGTATGAGAAACCAATGTGAGTTTGGAACATTGGACGATGTAAATCTATTCTAGTAGACCTCAACAATGGAATTATGATCAGTAGAAATGGCCATGACATGGGACCTTTAAAGCGTTTTTCCGTTGTTGTTTTTTAATATAATGCCAATCCTATATTCGAGCAAAGCAACTCTGATATTTTTATTTATAAACTAATTGACAAGTAATAAATACATCCGGATGTTGTAAATGCCACAATGACACATGCAAGAACAAATGAACAAATAATAAGTCCTTGCTAAAGTTTGAGGACAACATAATTAGCACGAAGATTATGCTAAAAATATGAATCCGTATATCCATTAAAATGTGTCTTACTGTCTTAAAGAAATATACAGCTTGGCAATGTATTTTCAAATTAACTCCACAACACAAATGCATTTTTACATTTGAAATATGACCACTACACACATCTGAATATCAACCAAGAGCATTGAAAAAGCATTAAGAGCAGGTCAAATATGTTGGGGGAAGTTGTTGTATACAGCTGCATACAAATAATAAAATAATTCTGATGAAGGTAGTGATAAAAAGAGTAACAGTCAAAATTATCCATCAAAAACACATTTGTGCTTTAGAGTCAGTGTGAAGCCATTACTCTTCATCAACACTACAGACATTTCCATCTCAAAAGGAATCATCAAGCAACAACCTCAAATGTAAAATGTATCTATGGAATTAAGATGTAGCTCCTTAACGTATGTAATACTGACTATAAAGGTTTTGTTCCTCTGCTTTAAACGCTTGACGAACTAAAATATTAGAAAATAATTTAATTTCAAATCCAAATTGAGTGACAGTCTATATACCTGAATCCCAAGGCTGGACAGAGCCCTCTGTACATCCTGTCAAGAGAAATACACAAAATCAGTCATCAGAGAGGACAAATATCTAAAATAAATTATTCCAAAAGTCCCAGTCATAGCAGGTGATGTGCTAATGTCCTACCACTGTTGTCCCTGGTTTACCCGGTGCCCCGTCCTCTCCTGGGTCGCCCTGCCAATAAAAAAACATCAAGGTGTCAACATAAAACGTATAAAACATCACTCATGTCACACTTCCAATGCAGTTTGGGATGGACGTTTAACTTACAGCATCACCTTTGAGGCCAGATGGACCTCTATCCCCCTGGAACAAAAAAAGGTAAATGATAAGAAAAAAAACGCCTAAGTGGTTTTTAATCTAAAAGCAACCAATACAGAGAACTAGGACTTACTCTGCCTCCCACAGCTCCGGGGATCCCAGGTATGCCCTGAAGGACAGAGCAAGGACAATGATAAGAACATCAAGAGATAAGACTGCGGGAGGGCTGCGGAAGCAAACTGGGACTGATGTAGATAAAAACACACATCTCTGCATCTACATGTGGGCAATCGATGCTGCTGGGGACAACGTGACCACATGAGAGCTAGATATCAGCAGGAGTAGAGATTCATAAAGTGGGGGCCGCCAGGGGGCCTCCGCCAATTGGAGGTTAGATGAAGAAAATATACAAAAACATAACAAAATAAAATTATAATGTGTATTATTATTAAATATAATTTAAAATAGCATAAAATCAAAATTGTATTTGCCGTGCCTATTTTTTGTCAGTGTTGACCTGCTCCTGAACTGTAGCTAGCTAACATTAGCTTGCTAAAAGGACAAGCAATGCTTCCTGAAAATAGATGTATTAAATGTATTACAATGATTAAAGGTTTGAAACACAACGATTATTATTATTATTATTATTATTATTGGATAGATAGAAGTAAGAAAACAAATCAAAATGTCAATGGCTTTTTAAAAACTGTTGCAAAAAGGGACATTAGCTAATGCTATTTGGGGGTTATTGGCATGGAAACGTTTTGGAAACCCTCAGATAGACGTTCCTAGCTCCTGCTTCTGTAAAGATTACTTTTTTCAAAAAAAACAAAAAATTCATTTGAAAACATAATTAGAAGCTGAGAATTTGTTTCCGTGTATAATCATTGTATCTTCTGCTAATACAAATCAGCCCTGGAAAGACCGTATCATTGTTCACGCACTCGCGCATTAGGAAAAACAGCAAATGTAATATGCAATTAAATAATATAATTAACAACCATGTTAGAACGCTACAAAGTCAAGTATACTCACAGGGGTTCCTGGGGGCCCCTGTGGGCCTGGGATCGGTGAGGCTGCAACTCCTTTGACATACACCACCTGACAGACAGTGACAGTAGTTTAGTAAAGATAATACACTAACACTCCAATCATATTGTGTTTAAAATGTGTCTCAGACAGTAGCACCTGTCCGGGAGGACCAATGCCGCCAGGTACGCCAGGAGCCCCCGAAGGGCCAGAGGGTCCAGACGCCCCAGCAAGGCCCCGGTCTCCTTTTGTTCCGTCCCGGCCCTGGAAAACACACGTGATTAAACAACTGAGACTCTTTATATGCAGGCTTACTTCCTCCTGTCCTATCGTAAAAGGCTGAACTATAAAATCAAAGCGGGTGGCCGCTGCCACCCCTCCACTGATGTTCTAGAGATAATTAATTTGAATTTGCAGATGAAAACAGAACTCTGACATTTGGCGCCTCTCTGGATTCCTCTCAGAAGTGGCTACCTCTTAAAGGCTTGGCTTGATCATTAGAAGCTAGTGAAGTTATATAGCTGCTATTGATTCAGCAGTGAGTGAGAGTGTGATGGTAATGTCAATGTCAGAACAAACTACTGTTGATAAATACACACTTGAGAGGGAAAGTGATGAGGATTAAAGAAAGGATGGAAGCTGACATGTAATACAATAAAGTCAAGGTAAGGATCCATACAGGAAGCGGGGTGTGAGACAGGGCAGGATACAGTGTAGACACAAACTGACAACAAAACACAAAGAAATAGTTATATAAAGAAGACTTGGCAAAAACTGACATCTCTTCCAGCTGCTCCCAGTTCTCCTTTATCACCCTGCAGAATAAAGATAGCAGAGTCAGATATATAAATAAATAAAGACATAATAAGCACAATCTTTATAAACATTTTCCTAAAACAGACACTAAGTTTTCCTATCTGAAGTCTTTTTTATTTCATATTCAGTCAATTTTATTAAATGATTTACATGAGGTGTTCTTCAAAATATTCAAATATCCTTTACTTTAAAATACTATAAAGACATTTAGATGAGGATATCGGGGGAGGTTATAGATGTGTCAAATACATTTGTCAAAAACATGTTGGGGATCAACTTTTTTATTCAAACACTCACAAAACCCTACTTGACTAAACCCTACCCTCTACGTTTTAGATGTGCATATAAATGGACAAACAACTACAAACCTTTCTGCCATCTTCACCGGGGACACCGTCCTCGCCCTGTAGGTCAAAACAAAAACGCATTAGAGACTCATTCAAACAAACAAACTGAGTAATGGTCGCTCTGCTGCTGGAGCACTCAGATAATTCTGTGCCGTTGCTTCAGAGAATTAATTAAGACTGGCATTATGCAGCAGACCCCAAACTATATATTCCTTCAGTCCTTTATTTACAAGGCCATTACCAAATAAGAGAATGATGGAGACATATTCTGATAGATCAAATTAAAGCAGTGCATGGAATTTCATGGAAAAATGCTCTTTCTTTCCAATCCCAGTCGCTGTTAGCTAACCTCCAGTATTATAAAATAACAGTTTTTGTAAAGAGTTACCATTTTGCCAGCAGAACCAGGTTTGCCATCTCCACCTGCTTTGCCCTGAAATATTACAACAAAAATTGGGACAATAAAACCAAAGTAAATGTGGTCAAACAAAAAATGTAAGAGATATGTATATACAGGTATTAACGGTGTGTGTGTGTGTGTGTGTGTGTGTGTGTGTGTGTGTGTGTGTGTGTGTGTGTGTGTGTGTGTGTGTGTGTGTGTGTGTGTGTGTGTGTGTGTGTGTGTGTGTACTTACAGGTATCCCTGCAGCGCCTGAAGGCCCAACAGGTCCTTGGGGGCCCTGCTCCCCTCTAAATCCTGCTAAACCCTGGTAAATAATAAAGCCAACGCACATTTTCGAATCAATGACCATTGAGCAAAATGTATAGATATTTGCTCACATTTTGGACTGTACTGTAGCAATGTGAGGAAAGTCTAAAGAGAGTTTAAAATGTTTAATTTAGTACTTAGCAAACATGGCCACTGTGATTAGTTATGGATGTACAGCAGCAGTAATAGATCAGTCATGGGTCTGCCCCTTAAAACAAGATTTAGACTCTTTACTAATTGTTACATCATTGAGGACTTATTATTAAAGTCAATATTTTATTATAGTCTCCTGTGAAAATGGACTGGCATGAAGACGTCTTTACCTTCAGACATCTTATGCAACTGGCAATAGGAGTGCAAACTGAATTTGAACACCTCCACAGTGCCCTCTGCAGCATGTACACGTCAAGTGCAAATACTATGCAATTCGGGGCAGATTTTCCTTAACATAATACACTGTTCGATACAGAATTTGGATGATATGATCATAACTCAAAAGTAAACACTTTTGAACTACTTTTAAATCACTTCTTGCTGGCGGAGAACTCACTGCTCCATAGTTTGTCTTTTGTTAACTGGCACACTGTACATTTTAACTTTATATTTAATTAGCCATTCTTGCTTACTAAATGTAAATAACATCCTACTTTTATATTGTGTTGGCTTTGATACAGGCCCTTAATAGTGTTTTATTAGTCAGATAGTCTACATATTTTATTTGTATATTCACGGTCAACTTTTATATTTCCCCCATTAGTTCTGTTTTATCTTCTATTTTTAGATGTTTACATTGTATCATTGTTTATTCTCTACTGTTTTTATTTCTAATTATGTGCAATACTTTATTTGACATGCTGCTGCACGAAAACATTTCCCAATTTGGGATTAATAAAGTATATATTATCTTTATCTTATTGAATTACTCAATACATATCCATCACACAACTTTAGTGAGCATAACACTAAACATTTATGAGCATTCCCTTTCATATCATTGCTTAGAATACAGATTACAACCACACAGAAGCAATGAACTCACGTCTCTCCCATGATCCCCCTGTTTTCCAGCATCACCCTGTAACATGAAGAGAACAATACATTGTATTAGCTGCACTAATTCACCACCCAGTGAATCTCTACATACAATGTGTTGTTATGGTTTCAGAGAAAAAATAATATAAACTGAAGTACCCTCTGACCAGCGGGTCCAGCAGCACCTGGTTTACCATCTATACCAGAACGTCCATCTAACCCGGAAGTTCCCCTTTCTCCCTGTCACAAAGACATTTAGAGTTTGAAAACACATTTACTTTACAGCAACAGTTTGAGTATCACTTTAACTTCTGCCCATGGTGCTTTCTTTTACACAGATACAAATAAACTGAGACCAGTTTATTTTTTTCAATCTTGATAACATGACATGTGTTCCTGTAGCTTCAGTAGGTGAGATTGTGAGGACCAGCCACACTGATTTCAAACCTTCTCTCCAGGCGCTCCTCTTTCCCCTGCATCACCCTGGAAAGAATAGAAAGGACAATGATGACAATGATGATTTCAACAAATCTGTAGAACTGAGCTTGTCCACAAAGAAATGTACAAAAGCCCCTTTTAAACATTTTGTTTAAGAGAGATTTAATCACAAGTTTCAAGGAAATGAATCTCGAAGCAAAAAAAGACCATAGAAAATGACTGAATTAACTAAGGTAATCTTTCACGACAAGACCAACACCACCGATTAGATGACTACAAGGATGTATATTTAAATACATATATTCATGAGGATTGAAGCAGAGACAAAGTGACAGAAATAAAACATACTCTTGTGCCTGCAAGTCCCCGTTGTCCCTCAGGGCCCTTTATAGGCAGCAAGGAAAGCAGAGAAGTCACAAAGGATCATCAGTCACGCATAGCAAATCTACATGGAAGGGGGTCAGTGGGCATCCAGATGCAGATACTGTACGGGGGCTTCTCAGATGCTCACGGAAGCATTTACAAATTGCAAGAATGAGACAAACTCACTCGTAGGCCTGCAGCTCCGGGAGTCCCCGCTTCGCCTTTCTGACCTTTGCCGCCGTGCTCTCCTGGGTCGCCAGCATCCCCCTGGAAATTACAAACATGTAAGTCGTAACTAGAGGTAACCATGAATGTTTGGGGCGTTTGCACAGTTTGTCTGAAATTGGACTGGAGGGGGGTCCCAATTGTAATCCAATGGCTCTTCACAAATAGAGTTCACACCTTTTCTCCTCCCACTCCTTTCAGCTGGCCCTGGATGTCAGCCTGTCGAAGAGACCAAACATGAAGGATCAGAATTGTGTTTAGAGAAAGTTTTTTTTCAAAAGTAAGAAGATGCTGCATATTGTAGTTACTAACTCTAGTTTGCTTTAATTAAACACATGTTGATTAATCATCATTAGGGTTCATTGTGTTTTACACATACAGTAGAGTGTGATACACTCACCACTTTTCCTGGTGGTCCTGGAGGCCCTTGGGGACCCTTGAAGAAGAGAGTGAAATAGGTCAATTCACCTATAGTAAATCAAATATATATTGATTAAAAAGATAAAGCCAATAACAAACCAGTTGTCCTTTATCTCCTCTCAGTCCCGCAGGTCCAGGGCTGCCCTATGATCGAACACACATCAATAAATATGCAGCTGACCTTCCTTAGCGCTTCTTCTCTCAAGGCTTTAGTGAAAAAGCACAAGAGCATATTGAAAAGCTGTCTGTATGATGAAACGTAAATGTGTGCCTCACATTTCGTCCTGACTCTCCAGGGTCTCCCAGGTCTCCCTTCTCTCCTAGTCGTCCGGGCTGACCAGCCAGTCCCTGAGGGAGGTCAATTCAACATGTCAACTGAACTTCCCTTTGATGTACCATGGTCGTTTTCAAGTTTAACAAGGAAACTTGAATCTAAAATGTGCCAAAGACACTTGTCCTACCCTCAGTCCTCTTTCGCCCGACTTCCCCGGAAGTCCAGATTCCCCCTGATGAAAAGCAAGTTAAAAACAAACCAGACATTTGCGGTGACTTGTACGCAATCATCTTTATTAATAAACACACGTGTTATGCAGAGAGTGGATGTTGTGATGTTTGCATCAATACAAAAAACATATACTTACAGGTGTGCCTTCGTCACCCTTTTCTCCTCTGTCTCCCTTTAAATAGAATAAAAATAGTTTGTTCATTTTAACATAGGGAACCTTAATGCTGGTACATTTCTAAATCCACAAGAGCAACTGAGTAGAGGGTCAGTGAACAGAGCACACAAATGTAATTGCCCACCAATAATTGTTTATACCTCTTAAATGGCATCATTAAAAGAGACGCATGGTGGAAAAAGAAGAAGAAAGCAGCAATCTGATCTTTGATTACATCATTGAGAAAAACATGCAATAACAGCAAGTGCTTGACTTTGTTAACAATAACACAATGTCATGTTTAACAATGTAAAGGAAACCCCTAAAAGAAGGTCATGATACAATGATAAGATCATCATTGCTTCAACTAACAATCATTTTTTTAAATAGTATTTTGTGGTTTTATGCCTCAGCCAAAAGGTCAGATTGCAGTTCCAAAATATCATCAATTCATCATTTTATCTTATTAGACAATTGTATGAAATTGTCATAATTTGAATATGAATTGACGAGGGATGGCCAAAAAGCTGTCTCTCTGAAAACCAAATTATAATCAGTTCATCCTTAATGATTGAGCCAAATGTTGAGAAATTCCTTCAAAGTGTTCCTGAGATATATCACGATCCTTAGAATGGGATAGATGTACAGACAGACAGAGGGAAAATCCAAAAACATATTGCCCACAAGATGTTCCTGGCAAGACGGCAATAAAACCTGAGAAAAGCAGTACCTCCTCACATTAAAGAGCAAAAACAAAACAAAAATAACTCATGTTTTGTTAAAAGAAATCTTAAAAATAGCTTCTATTCAAAGTAATTACTACCCAGCCATAATTCCTACTCCATGTAGACAATTCTAAGAGGATATTAAAAACAGGTGTGGCAGTAGCTATCGTTGGAAAATGAATTGTTTTACTTTTGGCAGTTAAGATATGGTTGTGGCACACTCTCACCCCTTTCCCGGGAAGGCCAGCTTTTCCGGGGATTCCCGGTCGCCCATTCTCCCCATTCTCTCCCGGTTCTCCTGGAGTTCCCTAAACATCAGTTAAAAGACCATATTGACAATCAAATAAAGCAGGAATAAACAGAAAGTCTTAAAACGCGCACATAAAACATCTCTCACCTTGCCACCCGGCCTTCCACTGAGACCAGCAAGTCCCTGCGGGCAGAGCACATGTTTTATGTATTTTCAGTTTCAATGATTTTGAGGCATGACTTGCACTGACAGGCGGCACAAGGGAAATGTTTTATAAATAATAGATGTTATAGTCAGGAATATATCACAGCAGCCGTAAACATTATGATGTGCCATTTGTGGCTCTGATAAAAGGGAGGTTATGATGCCTCTGCTGTGAACCTACTCTATCTCCCGGCTCTCCTTTAGATCCAACAGCGGAGCCTCCTGAGCCTGAAGACCCCTAAAAAAATGACACAGGGAAAAATGTCAGACCACAGATAAAAACATATATTTTTAGGCATCATCATCATCATCATCATCATCATCATCATCATCATCATCATCATCATCATCATCATCATCATCATCATCATCATCATCTTGTAGTTGCTCACTTTCTCTCCTTTCTGGCCTAAATCTCCTTTATCACCCCTCGCCCCGTCAGATCCAGACAGGCCTCGGTCCCCCTGTTTGACGACAGAAAACGAGAGGAAACCCATCAGAGTGGAGGAACAGCGACATGTTTAGATTAAATGATTTCAAAAGTATAACATTTGATAGTTTACCTGGTCCCCTTTCTTTCCTCCCAAACCTGGAGCCTGCATGATTTGAATTATACAGTAAGTAGTCATCATCACAGACAAAGACCGACATAGACATTAAGCGAATCTCCATATGAAAGGACGGATACATTATTATATGTCATTTTTCTGCATTATCTGATCACTCACACTTCTGCCAGGCTCTCCACGTTCACCATTGTTTCCCTGGGAACAGACAGGTTCAGTTGTTCTTTCATCATTGCTTGGAAATTCATTACATCTGATTATTAAAGGTCCTGTGATGGAATCACGTCCCTATTGACCTGCTGCTTCTCGTATGAATACATTAATTTGATCAGTCTCACCTTTTCTCCTGTGGCTCCAATGGGCCCTGGCAAACCCTGATGACAAATGGAAAGGTTAATGAATGAAACCATCTTTGCATTTAAAGCAGGAAATATGAAACAAAAAGGCACACTGATGCCATTAGCCAATACAACATGGCAGTCTGTCACTCACTCTCAACCCTGTTGTTCCTGCGAGGCCCGGCTTCCCGGGGTCCCCCTGGAAGACAACAACATTATTCAAATAGCAGGACAAAACAGCACCAAAAGGAAAGGATTTCAACAGGTGAACTCATTTATATAAAAAACTGAACCACTACTGCTCTACTCACCCTCTCCCCAGTTTCACCATTTAGTCCTCTCTCCCCCTGCGAAGAGACACATGTCCAGATTCATTGATTGTTTTCAAGTCAGATTACATGTTCTGTGACTACGGTAATTGTTTTAACTAGAGTCTTTTCAGGTTCGGTTCTTGATCTCTTCCTCGACCTTATTTATTGTCTATACAACCTGCATTTTACATAAAAAGGGTGACAGATCTCGCATTAACAACGTCAGAAATGTTTAGCTTGCTTTGCCAAGGGGCAACTTCTCAGAATGACAGACTTAAGAATCTTTCTCTTATTTTAATAAACAAGCTATTTTAGTCTAATGTGATCAGTTGAATTCAGAGTGGCATTTCCTTTATAAGAAAATGATGGACAGGGCACCCAGCACCCTTTACTTGAGACTCAAAGTACTTACCTGTGAATATGGAACACAGTCATTTCATCTATTAAAAACCCACACTATCACTCCACAAACTCACACACATTCAAAATCAGACATCCTTGACTGATTCACTCTCCTCGAAGGACTCACCCTGTCTCCCTGTGATCCAGCCTCACCTGGCTGTCCTCGGTCACCCTATCAATATGGAAAGAGTGAGAAAGGTATTTCTTCTATTTTAAGCTTACAAGATAAGTGATTTTCTTATCATTACCTTACCTTGCCACCAGTTTCTCCTGTAGGCCCACGGGGACCCTGGAAGACATGAGCAAAATGCTTATTCATACATTTATTATCTGATTACGGATTTTATGTTTCAGTGCTGTGTATTTATGTTGTTTAACAAAAATGAAGATATTTCAGTGATAGTTGGTGGAAAGTAGGGCCATGGTCTACTAAAGTTTGAACTGTGATGGCGAGACCACGTGGCCATTTTAAAAGCAGCTGATACCTTTGATCCACCAAATTTCACACAAGTCATTATTTTACAAAATGTTCATTTCATTATTGTATTAGCTGTGCCATTGTGTTTTTTGTGGTAGTGATGTGGTGAGGTGTAGAAGAGGTATGTGCCGTCAGGGTTTTCTAGTCTTTACTATGTCCAAAAACCGGACTCATCACCATGACATCAGCCAACGACTGTGTTCAACCTACCCGGTCCCCAGGCTCTCCTTGCCTGCCTGCAGGTCCAGCCTTCCCATCACCACCGTCACCCTGAAAAGCAACCATAAGCAATTACTCTGGGTTAAACACCTCACATGCTCAAACACTCATTCACTGAATCAATATGCAGCTACCTTGTCTCCTTTGCTGCCCTGTGGACCTGGTAGCCCTCTAAGACCCGGAGTCCCTGCATATGCTGGAGTACCCTGATAAAAAAATGCAATTAGTTAATGCAAAATACCCACACATGCACACATTCAGAGTAGATCTGCAAACCCAACATGTCAGCACATAGGCAGTGATTGACAGCGCTTACTGGGGAGCCCTTCTCGCCCTTCACGGCCACCCCACTGCCGACTCCTGGAAGTCCCTGTCAGCAAAGAGAGATAAGAGCTGAGAATCATTATGCTCGGGTGCTCCGTGGGATACTTCTGCAGTGAGAGGACGAGCAGGTGATGCTGTGGTGTGACTCACCCTATCTCCTGGGTTACCCCTGTCTCCCTGCAGAAAGAGGAAGAAAGACAAAAAGGGTGCTTAATATTGTTGTTAGGAAACGTATCTCAACGTTAAGGCAAACTAATAAAAGGAAATCGAAATTTGGGACATAATAGTAATAAATCATTTGTCTTTATTTTTTATTACTGAGGAATTAAAACAGCTGTAATAGTTCGCTAGGAGTGACAATTGATACTCCTAATCATATGAGTTTCCAGATAATCTGTCCTATACAATCAGTATCTGTCTCTAAAAAATATTATAATACCTTTTCGATGCAGTGGAAACTATATAAAGTAAAGTCTGTATGTAGGCCTTTTTTCTCAAAAAGGATGGACAAAAAGTTATAAAATCATGCATTAGAAATGATATTGTGTAACAAAAGTTATCCTAATATCTCAAAATTCCTGGCACATACAGTAAATGCTTGAGCTTCCAATAAAGAAATAAGCAAGTGGCTCAATGCTGCCACCATGTGTATGAGTCTGACAACAACAGTCTCATATTGGAGGAGTGGATGGAGCCAAGAGACTCCTTTGAGAATTCATTAAGGTCTCAATAGAGAAAACTGGAGAAGAGGTTTTTTTTTACAGAATTTGGAAATCTAAAAGAGAAGATTATTTGTTGAAATAACAGACCACATCTGTTATTTCAACAATTTGGATATCGTGCATTTGGGAAACATATTTTTAGATAATAAGATATTTCTGTTTCATTGGTTTAATACAAAACATAATTGTGCATGTGAGACTGTAACATGTGTTCTTGTTAATGTCTGTAAAGAGTTCAATGAGTCAAAAAGCCTGAATAAAATGTTTTCGTACAAAATGGCCTGGAATCATTTGAAATTCTGTTTCAATTAATATCACATTGGTAATTAAAACACAGCTGGTCCATACGTCACTCCAAAATGCCAAAGGGCTGACAGCAGCCAATGATCTGACATTGGTTAACACAGCTTCATCAGGACAGAAGATGAGCATGGCATATCAAAGACAGTCTGTGTTTGGATTTGTTACAGCATCATGAGTTAATAGAGTGACTTTGCTGGTGTTTATATTAGGTGTATTTTCATCTAAAGTCTCAAAGAGCTGATACAAACTACAGATACTTTCAGGGGGCAGTGGGTGAGGCTAACCTTGATGGAGAGTCCTGGTGTTCCTGGTAAACCTGAGCGACCTTCCTGACCAGGTGTCCCAGGAACACCGGGCCCACCCTTGTTGCCGTTGCTGCCTGGCCGACCAAGAGAACCCTTTGTAAAAAACACAAACAATGGTTAGAATATAAAAATACTTAATACATCAACAACAGCTACACCAAGGCTTTGTAGAGGGTTTTGGTTGGAAGGGTATTTACAATTTAATGTGCCCATACAAAGTACATACAGTACCTGCTCTATCGAAATCAGTCGCATTGACCCGAAGACACATTTTGAGTTGTTTACACTGTTGGAAAGAGGAGACTCATAGCTTTCTAATGATATCAGGATTGTTTTTGTACTCCAAACATTAAAAGTCCCATGTCATGCTTTTCCGGTTATTACCTTGTCCCCTTGTGTGTTATGTAGCTTTTTCTGCATGGAAACGGTCTGCAAAGTCACAAACCCTCAAAGTACACCCTGTAGAGAGTAAAACTCTAACACAGAAAATACCTGTCTATGCTGCCCCAGAACGCCTCGTATGAGATTTCTCTTTCATTTTTTTCTACCTGAGTATGGTGACGTAATCATGCCTAGGTCCAAATGGACCAATCCGTGGAGCTTCACACACACGCACTCCTGTGTGTGTGCTCAGGCTGAATTCCGCGGGGTCTGTGACTGTGACCCACGCAGCAACCAGGAAATGACACCAGTAATCCAGCTCACACTGTCTGCTCCTCGAGCCTCAAAGTGCGGGGCAGCGAGCCCTGCAACGTCCCACCAACACGGCACCCAGACCCTACACAGGATTCTCATCTGTCTGTCATTACTGGTGTCATTTTCTGGTTGCTAACAAACGCCATTGTAACACATGAACACACATCAGAGCACAGTGGGCTCATAGGGAGGTGGGGGGGGGCAGGAGCTCCAACAAGGCGTGTAGGAAAGAGAGTGAATACACATACTACACAGAGATGCTGTATGAGAAACCAATGTGATTTTGGAACATTGAAAATCTATTCTAGTAGACCTCAACAATGGAATTATAATCAGTAGAAATTGCCATGAAATGGGATCTTTAAGCAAAATATGTCACATTATATAATGACTGTCACAGAGTCATCATTTTGAGAAAAAGGCCTTCAAAGTTTCCTCTTCTCTGGAATCCATCGATCTGATTGATTATTAGCGGAGCAAATGATCAAAGTAGTCCGGAGGGAAAATATTTTCGTTTGGATTATTGGTCTGGGGGAAGCTCGCAAGTGTGTGTGTGTATGTGTGTATTGTGTTTGTTTACCGGGGAAAACACTCACGAGAAACACCGGCTGTTGTTATGCCTGCTGTGACGTCAAGTTACTCCGTTCTCCGCTTGTAATTATGCCGTTACAAGCTTCGAAGTTGTATTTATCATCTGAATTTGCCGAAACAAGTTTAATATTCTGAAAGCCAGGACTTTGTTTATTTGAAATCAAATGAAAACAAACTGTAACGGAACCTGCCGTGTTATCTATGATTACTATACGCCTTACATTCATAATTTCAGCCGGAGAGGGGGGGAGCGGCGCTGCGGAACAGCAGAGTGCGAGTGAGAGCTGTCATCTTCCCTTTACAAGCTTAAAAAATGTATTTATCGTGTTATTTTGGAAATAAAAGTTTCATATTCTGAAAGCCAAGAATTTGTTTATTTAAAATCAAACAAAACACCCGAACCCCGAAAAACTATTTTTTTATGCAAATCCACGTTTATTTTGAAATGAGCCGTTGCGACTTCCGACTGATTTCGATAGAGCGGGTCACATATAGTATAAAAATAATGGAAAAGAAAAAACATTATTAATTGAACTGCTATTAAAAAGGGCAAGCTAAAATGTATCACATCCCTTCCAGACAGGACACGTTAAACATATTAACATATAGACAAAATACAGAATTGAAGCTATGATAAAATAAGCAGTAGGTACTTAGATATAAAGATCTTTCTGCATAGGTGGGATGGGGTCAAAGTAACAACAGTTTGTTTCTTACCGGTATTCCCGGGAGGCCTGGCTCTCCTTTCCTCCCTGGAAGACCCCCTCCTGATATAGCTGAGCCTGGTTCTCCCTGAAGCATCAGCAAAGCAACATACAAAAACACACACACACACGATTGGCCCATTACTTTTTTTTCTGTCTCTTTCAAACTCGCACAAATAAATAATTGTATGTGATTCAATAAATATTAATAAATCCTAGTAAGGTGGGTCTGGAAAAAGATGAAAATGATTGTTTAGCTCACCCTTTCACCTTTTGTGCCCGTTGGTCCTAGTGGCCCAGTCCCACCTATTTGACCCTACATCAAGAGAAAAATAAATGTAGTCACAATATTCAAATATCCAATTTACAACTTTTTAGGAGAACAAGGTACTCACTGGATCTCCTCGTATACCAGGTATGCCCTGCGAACCCTAAAGACACAAAAACAGCATAATTTTGTTACCTCTATGCACAAGGTTTTCAAAGTTTGAGACAGTGGGCCTCGCCTCAGACAAAAGTTTGAACATGGTGATGCCTTACCCTCCTCCTTTACTTGCTTTTAGTTTATGTGATCATAATTACATTATTTCATACCAAAGATTTACAAATGACCTAAGGTCGCCTCATATTGCTGTTTGAGATAATAATAATAATAATAATTCGACACAAGTTCTGTCCTAAGGAAACATTACAATTCCCCCAAAACTATCTAACTAACTACTTAACTACTATCTGTTGAACCCAATCACACACATATAGGCTACTCTATGTTATTCTGTTTTTAACCAACATGATATTTACTCACCGGGAGCCCTCCACTTCCAGAGGAACCTGGTCGTCCCGGCAACCCTGGACTTCCATCAATGCCAGGAAAACCCTGATCAGGAAACAGACTCCTCGTTACCATTTTTCTCACTAGGAAGTTTGTCAAGCTTTTAAATAACCTCAGCTGTACTCACCCTCTCTCCCTTTTCTCCTTTCACCCCCCCTGAGGGGTCAACGGTGATGGTTTGACCTGGAGGACCTGGGCGACCCTCAGGGCCTATGGGGCCTTCCCTCCCAGGCAGACCATCACGACCCTAAAGCAAACACACACACACACACACACACACACACACACACACACACACACACACACACACACACACACACACACACAACACAACATTAGTATGGAAAGAAATTCAGTAGATTGCTGTTAAGAGGCAACTGTTAATAAAGTACTCACAGGATCTCCCTTGCGTCCATCTGTGCCATCGCTGCCTCTGTCACCCTGTGGAGTCAAACATAAACATGCCATTTAAAAGCGAATAATACAAATTAAAAGGAAAGAGCTAAATCATTTATCAAAAGTCTGCTCTTTACCGTCCCACCGGGATATCCCCGTTCACCCTAAAGGGAATTAAAAAAAAATATCCATTTAGAAATCATACAGTAGGGAAAAGGAGTCAAAGTCTTTAAAGATGTTTCTAGTCCAATAAACTGTCATTATTATCACGTGATTTTGTACAAAAGTATATTTAGAAAACTCACCTGAGGGCACTGAACGGTACACTGCTCTGGACCTGGACCTACCTAAACAAGGACAGAAAAATGAGGCTGAGATGAGAGGGTTTTGTATTTTATCTTCATGTATAACTGTATTTAGATTCCATGCTAAGTCACAAAATACCATGAACAACATTTGTTGGAACCCATGTCCAAGAGAGTCACACTATTGTATTTACACAATATTGGGAATAAAAAAGAACAATAAAACATAGTTTCTTCTTACATCTGGTATTCTGGCAATGCCACAGAGCAAGTCTGCCAGGTCAGTGTGTAGGGTGTCCAACTGGGCAGCATCACGGGTGTAAAGGATGTTCTGGGTGCTGCCGTCCGTCACGGCCCGACGCAGCTCCTCTGTGTTCGCCTGGTCTATACCTACAGCTAACACTGTCACACCTACACACATACACACATACACACACACACAAGGAAGGAGGAAGACTTTTGAATTTGTATGTCTAATATGTGTTTTTTTTTTTTTACATATAGTTCAGTTTTGTTGTTAGTTCAGACGAAGACACCCGTACAAAAAATTAGGGATGCTCCGATCGGGAACTTTGGGGCCGATCTCCGGAATCAGTATCGGCCGATACCGATCACCGATCCGATCGGGTGGGTGGGGGCTATGGGGATCTTCCATTTAAAGTGATGTTTAAAACTCAGTTAAAGGTGGGGTAGGTAATTCACTTCAGAAACACTTTTTGTTATATTCCATGGAATGCTCTTAACATCCCGATAGGTCAATAAAATCGGCCCGGCCGAGTTCTACTAACCAGGCACCGAAAAATGTCGGCGTGCCGAAGGTGTCCTAATGTAAAAAAATACATAAATAACAGTTTCGTAATTATATNAATAAATACATAAAAAAATGTAATCTGTGGAAGCCGTGGCGCTGCAAAAAGCACAACCAATCATCTGAGCCGGCCCGGCTAAAATAACTGGATGGCCTACCTGCCTGTCAGCCTTCCATCTGTGCACAAACTTATGTCGTGCCCTCATTGGTCATGTGCGTGTTCGTGTGTGTTGGAGGAGGGGCTCTGTAAAGAAGTCTGAAGGAAAGGGCAGATTTTTTTTTCTTTCAAATTCTAGCGCACTCGAGCTGGTTTCTCCATTCTTACCTACCCTACCTTTAATGGGGCTCATTTTTATATTGCTTGAGTTTATAATCGTAACGGATCGAAAAGTTCAGATGAATTTTTCAATACATGATGCGCTTCCACAAACAACAACCAACATAATTATTACATTCGAATGAAGTACATTATTCATAAACTTGAATAATGTACTTCATTCGAATGTAATAATTATGTTGGTTGTTGTTTGTGGAAGCGCATCATGTATTGAAAAATTCATCTGAACTTTTCGATCCGTTACNCCTCCAAAAGGAAATGATATCCTTTCCAAACCGTACTTTGCCGTACGATCCTGTCTTTCAAAATGAAGGACAGCGAAAAAGTCTAACGCCACCTCTGTGGGGCAGAGAGATATGCTTTGACCATGGATGACAGCAGTGGGTAAAACCGTGCATTGTCTCTCCACCACGTCAAAAGCAATACCGTTATTGCTAAGAAGGTGAGGCTTATTGACAGGGCGAGATATAAATATACTGTTGGTACTTGTCAATGTCTCTAGGTATGTAAATGTAGCCCTGGAAATACCATGTCCTTTTGTGTTATCTGTTGTTTTATGTTCATGTTGCAACCTACTTGCTGCCATGTTGGACAGGTTTCCCTTGAAAAAGAGATCGATGATCTCAATGGGACCACCTGGTTAAATAAAGGTTTAAAATAAATAATAATAATTAACCATGTAATATCGCGGTAGATTTTGTCAGTCTCACGACAGTATTGAGACGTTTATTTATCGCGATAGCGCGATATTCGGTATATCGTTACATCCCTATTCATTACTCTTCTGTACATGCAATGACAAATGATCCTAAAGCAGGTGCAGCATTATGTATTTAATGTAAATGTATCTCCCTCCAGAGTTGAATTTACATTTACTACCTACCTGGATGGCACTGATCTGATCAACGCTGTGGAGAATCTGAGCTATAAGGGTGGAAACACACACACTGGTGCTGGTCTCAAGTTTGTTGCAGATAACTTCTTCAATCCCACGTCGAGTCGGGATGTCCCAAAGGTCTGAGGAGCAGCCATTCTTAGGACTTTTGTATTTATAAAATTGCATACTTAACATAGTGCTTTTTGTGTTTCTTATTCCACCTGTGGGTACATTTCAGATCACCATCCTGATCACAGATGGGAGGTCACAAGACAAAGTGCAGGAACCAGCACAGAAGCTCCGCAGTCAGGGAGTTCATGTGTTTGCAGTGGGTAAGTGTCTCACCTAGCAGTGCCTCTGCAAAGCAAAGCAATTGGGATTTTATTTTACACTCAAGCAACATTGATTTCTCTTTTCTTTTTTTTAAAATGTTCTGTGTTTTGTTAGGTATAAAAAGTGCAGACAGGAGTGAACTGTCTCAGATCTCCTCCCAGCCCATCAGTGATTTTATATCCTTTGTTGGGGACTTTAAGCTGCTGAACACTCTTCTTCCTCTTGTGAGCCCTCAACTGTGTACCAAAGCAGGAGGAGTTTACGCTAGTGATGGTATGTAGGTCATGTGGGTTACCTTAAAAAACGTGGACTCAGACTTTATTGTCACATTGTAAACCTGCATTTAATTGTATCTATGTTTCAACCTGCTTCCACCCTCTCCTCTACTTTCAGAGGCATTTTCGGGTCCGTCAAACATTCAGTTCACAGGCCAGACATCTGATACTCTAAGGTTTCGCTGGAGTGCAGCGGGGGGTCCTTTGAGTGGCTATGTGATCCAGTATGTGCCACTCTCCGGCTTGGGTCAACCTATCACAGCAGACATGCGTCAGGTAAGTTCAGCTGTTGAAAGTAAATTCCTGACACCTGGAGGTGACACGCACAAGTTTTTAATTGCAGTTTAAGAAGCCAAAGTCAATCGTGCTTTGCAAGAGAAACACATGCCTTCAGGATTGGTATAAACATGTCTTTGGGTGGATCTTCTTTATGTAGATGCTGTTGGGATTAAAACTTGGCAGAGCGAAGAGTAACATTTGCTTATCCTGGCAGACATAATACAAATAAAAGAATTTCATGTCTCACCCGTCTAAATTAGTCACTAACTTCGCAAAATATCCTCTGTCTATCCCCGCAGGACACTGTCCCTGCCAGTCAGAGGACGTTTTCCGCACGAGAGCTGAGGTCAGGAACCGACTACCTGGTGACTGTCATTGCCCAATACCCAAACAGTTTGGGGGAGTCTGCTTCTGCCAAACAACGAACAAGTAAGTCAAATGTGAAGAGCCAACAGCTTCGGGCTGTGAGGTTAATCACCAGTCACTCAAAGCGTTCACGCCCTAAATTATGCATAACTTTAAGCCATAATATAATTTAACATGTGAGTTTTGTAAAAAATTAACCCCAATAAAGTTTTAATAAATGGAAGTAGAGGCTATAGGTGCATTTATGATTTCATGTACTATTCTGTTCATATTTGTGTTTCTGCTGTAATGTTGGGAATTTTAACATGGGGGTCTTTGGGGATTGACGCTCTTTTAGTGCCGGCATAAAGTGGCCATTTGAGTAATGCAGTTTTTTTTGCACATCTGCATTTTCTTCATCTTCAACACCTCTCCCACACAAGAAAGAACCCTTAATGTTTCATGTGTCACCGTCATACATCTGCAGTGCCTTTTTTTCCTCTTCACAAAGGATCTTTGCCAGGGGTCACCAGTCTACGCCTGGCTCAGGCAGGCTTCTTCTCGCTCGCTGTGGACTGGGGTCAGCCTTCGACTCCTGTGCAGGGCTACAGACTCACTTATGGACCACAAGGTCAGAAACACAGTCCCTTTTATTTAGTTTAGTTGAGTTTATTTGTAATAAGTATGTTATCTCTGTCTAACATACTTTCTCTTTCTCTCTGCCTCTCATCTGATTGACTTAGAGTGCATTAGCAACTTCTCTCCTCTTTTTGGCTTGAAAAAACAGACATTAAGTACCTGTGTTGTAGCACAATCATCTTTTCACAAAAAACTATTTTGACAGAATGAATGATTACATTTCAAATGAAGGAGAAAAGAAGGTGTAGCATTCGATAGCAGTTAACCTTTGGCGGCAAGTTGGAAACATGTTGAGAATGTACAGCAGTCATAGCTGAGGAAACATGAGCTTTCTAACAGCTTACCACCCTCAGGCACCGACTGTTTGCAAGGATTTTTCTGCAAAATCATTACCTAAAATATATAAAAGTATATTCATCATCACCAAACTTTAAATACGGATAGATGGTGGAAACCTTCACTTATGTTACATATTGTCAGTAATTTTGTCCTTAAATGTCTAGAGACAGGGTGTGGCATAGATTATAACAGTGTCAAGATGTCTTGGTTCCTATGCTTTGATTCAGGAGAGAAAAGTAGCCCCTGAGGGCTCATACAAACAGTTTCTGCATCCGAACATGTGGCAGGAGTGCCAGTCTCACATGGTGCTCCTCTTCTGACTAGTTAGGCCTGAACATGTGTGAGAGTATTTAAATGAGGACTCTGTGTATCCTGTAATGAGTGGTGTGAAGTTTCTACCTGTTGCTATGTCTGCCTGTACTCGCACTGATAACTCCAGCGATCAAAACTGAAACTAAAAGACACACACACACACACACACACACACACACACACACACACACACACACACACACACACACACACACACACACACACACACACACACACACACACACACACACCCACAGCTGGCTCTGACAAGCTCTCTATAGTTGGCTTGCTGCCAAACTTATAGGTGAGAATTAGGTAACCTTAATGAATTGAGGTCACATATTTTCTTAGCTAATATCGTTTAACAATCTGTACACTAGGGATGCAAAGATCCAACTTTTTAATTCCTGATGCTGATGAGTATTGGTCCATCCTGACTTCTGATCCAATACCAGTCTTACATTTTAAGCTTTATGCCTCACTGTGTGAAAGTGACTGTGATCATGCTTATTGTCAAAGGCATCATCAGGCTTGACCTAACTAATGCTTACTTAATTTCGTAACAAAAAAGTTACAATTAGAAACATGGATACATTTTTACTGAATTGTTATTTATTATTAAAATTATAAATCATCATACAGAAAAATGACAAAAAATCTTCAAAATGAACATGAATTCAAGTGTAACTCCTTTTAATGCAGCAACAAAAAGAAACTGACACATTGTTATTAAAATTGGCCAAGTATGTCATGTTAGTATTGTTGCATTCCTAATAAACAGTATATTTTGTGCTTGCAATTGGTGAAGTAATTATTATTCGGCATCCCCCACCTCAATTCTTACACTGTCTTTTATGTGTTTTTTGGAAGAGCAGGTCAGCCCGCTGCTCAGCTGTTGGAGCGGTCTCTGTCTGCAGACTCCACTTCTGTCACCCTGGAGTCCCTTAAGCCCGACACAGAGTACGTCGTCAGCCTCTACCCTCTTTTCCCCCGAAACTCTGCATCCCCCTCCATCCTCAACGCCCGCACACGTGAGTCCCCCCTGTAGCCTGTTATGAATGCCTTTGGTACTGTTATATGAAGATTTAAGTTGTAATTTGATCATAATCAGCCAACTCAATATAATACAGACTTTGAAAATATAGTGATACTGTCTCCTTGTGGTTGGAATGTGTTCCAATACAATTGGCAAATATTAGTGACTGAGTGTTCATGTTTTTGCATGTGTTTAGTGCGCCTTGAGGCAGTGGAGCAGTTGTCAGTGGAGACGAAGTCAGAGAGCAGTGTTCATGTGCGGTGGAGAGGCGTCAGGGGCGCGCGGGCCTACCGTCTGGTCTGGGGGCCTTTCACAGGTCAGGACAAGGCTCACACACACAATAAAAAAAAAAACACTTTCCTTTCTGACAGTCAGTATTTATATATATCATTTTTCCTTCCCCTTCACCAAGGACGAAATGTCGAGACGGTGGAGGTTACTGAGGAGTTTCACACTTTGTCCAGACTGCAGGCCGACGCTGAGTACATCGTCACCATCATCCCGCTGTACGAGGGCATCAACGAGGGTACTGGAGCAACGACCAGGTTCAATACAGGTAGGTGTAGTCAGTAGTTTATCAAAGCACCAAACAAATGGTCTCTGTGTTTGTTGCCCCGTATTCCCTCTCAAAACTCGCATATGCATAAACAAAATCAACAAAAATGCCACGTATTGTGTCCTTTTGGTCTTCCTGAAATGAGTGATTGTAGTAAAAATAATGCTTTTTGAATAGATGGTTGCTTCAGTTGTGCCCTGCTAAGCACAGGGACAGAAAGAAAAGATGAAGTAGATGGCCAACAATCTTCTTTGCTGATTGTCTCTCTCCTGAAAACCGTTCTATGTTACTGCTTAGCTCTTCTTAAGGAACATTTCAATCACACCTACACACCCGTTGCACACACACCATCTGTCTCTCGTGAGTAAGGCCCATATGGTGTCACTTCAGTCGGACCGGTGTTATTTGAATGAAGTTCTGAGTCACCGCAGCGTCAATGTACTGAACAGGAAACCTTGTGTTGCTAAATCCTGCTTTCAAAGAAGTAAGATGTATACAGTGCTGTGTATACTGTACACCACAGTACCTTGTGTGTTTGTTCCTGTGTAAACCAGAAGAGTGACTATTTGTGATGTCTGCGGTTTGTGAGAAATTGTCTGTCCCTTCATACATTCACAACATTGAATCTTGTTTTAGAAAAGACCACATTGAATAAAGCCTTTTATACTATATTTATTTGCAACTTTATTGTTGATATTTGTATTTATAACATTCTCTCAGATGTAGGATCCCTCACATTAAGTCCCAAACAATATATTTGAGACTGCATGACATTTAAGGTTTGAGTAAAAATAATTGTAATGGTTTTTTTTTTTTTTGTCTTCCTCTTCACCACTTTACCACTTCAATAGCTTTGTATGGTGTTCAATCCAATCAGTTACGTTGTAACATGTTGAATTTGTTAGTGTATGTACATCACCAGAGGCCTGTTGCTCCGCGGCTGGTCTGACTTTGTTCTCTGACCTCTGTGCTCCACACTGACACCTGGTACTTTGTTGTTGATTTGTTGATATATTTACTACATGAACATGAAAAGACCCTTAGGCAAAATACAGTATCAGAGAGAAAGTGCTCTCAGGTCTGACCTGTGTGATATTTTTTGTCCCAGACAACATTTCTTTAAAGCAAGTCAACTATACCTGCAGCTTAAGGGCCGAGGAGTTGAAATCATAAAACTTACTAACTGTATTTTTTCGCTTTCAGTGAAAGATTATGGGCAACTCCTCAAAACAGCAAAACAATTTTTTAATGTCAATTAGCAACAGATTCTTGAACCCTTAGGCAGGTTGTGTATGTTAATAAGTTAAAATGCTGCCTCTGGATGTAATAATGGTTTGGAAGGGTTTCACAGTGGGATGTATATTCAGGATAACTGTGTCAGTCATATGTTCAGCTATAGTTATATTTCCATTGACACCCTTATACAATCTATTACACATTTTACATAATGCCCTTCGTAAGACTAACGTAAGACAAGATGCCATCATATGTTGGATATGTCATGATATACAAACTACAGAAGGATGAAGATGATGATTTGATTAATTTCATTCTTTTAGGAAATATCCTTCTAAAGTAACCCAAATGATCAAATTTTAACCAATGTTTTTGAAGTTAGACATTTTTTATTATTTGATTGGACTTATTTCATTGCATCCATTTTGGTTTGTCTGTACAGTAAGAGGAACTTCCTGTTTAAAAGCAAGGAGTAAGAGCCTCTCAGGGTTAGACCGTTGTTGAAGTTAGTTAAGTTCAGGTTCAGGCCAACCTGCCAAGCCTATTTTGGTTTTGTTTGACTTTTAGATTTCATTTTCTGTATATGTTTCCTTTCTGTATATTGTTTGGTTTTCACAACCTCACCAAAACCAGCCAGCTTTTTGGTTTTGTGGAAACTTTAATTAAAATGTACAGCTGATGAAGACTGACTGACCTTGACATTTAACTGATTTAGACTGAAGCCTTGCACTAGCTAAAGGAGGGTCAACACTTCTTCACAGAACAGGAACTGTGGAGTTTTTACCTCATCACATTGAAAACAAGGCATTTCAATCCATTTTTCAATGATAAGTTGATGGAAATCTAACTTTACTTATGGCATATCACAAAATCACATACATATGATATATCATGTGTGTCCCTCAGGGCGCCAGGAGCAGCAGGTGCTCAGAGCAGCCATCACCAGCCCCTCCACCATCCGCCTCACCTGGAGAATCATTCTGGCATCTCGGGGGTACCGCCTGGAGTGGAAGGAGGGGGAAGGTCTGTATGCATGTCACCTGTCCCTTTTGTAGTTGTTTAGTACATAACATGTAACATTGTATAGTTTTCAGGCGGACTATTGCTAATATGACGTTTTTATTATCATCAAAAGCGGTATGAAATAATGCAGGCTAACAATAGCTAAATCTAAAAGTATCATGTTGATGCAAAATGTATTTGTTTTAAAATAAACATAAAACACAACTAAAATAGACAACATTAATGCTAAATGCAGTTTTCATACTGTACCTTGATGACTTGATTTTTAGTTTGATGGCTGAAATAAAACAAAAAAAACGATAAAATCAAAATGCCAGCTCTTTCAATTTGTATATACTGATAGTTTAGGTATATTGAACAATGCACTAGTTCGGTTTTTTTCATAAATGTACTACACTTGCATTTAAATGTGAAACCCTGTGTTACAGAATAGTCATACATTTTCACATCCTTGAACAAACCCACTAATATCCAACCATGTGGCTTCCTCTCCAGGAGGCCAAATCCAGAGCCTGACCTTTCCTAGAACCACGACCAGCTATGAGCTAACAGGCGTTCAGCCCGAGACAGAATATATCATGAACCTGTACACCCTGTTTGATGGTCGTGAGGAGGCCACACCTGTCTCCACCTTAAGCAGAGGTCAGTAACTCAGCCTGGGGGATCAAAACTCATTATGGATTGATTGATGGTTCATTAATGTGCTGGGGTTGACTTCCAAGATCGGTTCAAAATGTTTTACTGTAGAGATATTAACATTTTGTTGTTGGGACGGCTAAAGCTCCATCGGTGGAGCTGGCAGCTTTTATTCTGTTTCTACAATAAAGGCACTGGTTGCCATTAATAAAATCTTGAATTAAAAAAAAAAGTTAAATGTTTAGCTGAGTGTCGCAAATCCTCTGGTGTTTAAGAGGAACAGCCAGTGGGGAGGGTCTCCAACCTGAGAGTTGTGGAGTCCCTGGGCAGTACCGTCCGACTCGGCTGGACGGGAGTAGCCGGTGCCACGAAGTACCGCATCATTATCCTCGACAAAGCAGGTACACTGGCTAATTTTAATTAATTATTTAGATCTTGTTAGTGCCTGACTATGGATAAAAACAGACTAGTACAACTGGTGTTTTTCTTGTCATGTCAGGGGGATCAGAGGAAATCCGGAATATCCCTGGAAACCAGACAACCCTGGACCTCAGAGACCTGACGATGGGAGTGTCTTATGGGGTCAGTGTCACAGCGCTGGTGGGAGAAAACGAAGGAGACCCAGTCACTGTCTACATCAAACCAGGTGTGTGGTGCAGTGACCGTGCTGCTCGTAGCTTCATCCTGTTGTCATGTTCCTGTAACTGCCCAAAAGCAGATTTGCAAAACACCCATTTAATTGTATTAAGAATTAATTGAATTAACCTTCTATTCTGTATTTTGACATACATTTGCTGAACACTGCACATTTTTAAAGGCTGTTCATAGATACTGTAAATTGTATTATACATACCTGCGATGAATGTACATTTTAAATCCCATAGCTGTCTTCTTGTTGTCTTACTTCAAGTAAATCCTCAGACTTGCTTTCTTAAAAAGCTGAATACATTGAATTTTGCCACATGAGGACCTGTACACCTTTCATTTCAGAGCAAGGTATTGGCAGAGTGACTAACATCAGGGTGACAAACGCCAACAGTCGGCGAATTCGAATAGCCTGGACAGGTGCTGCTGGGGCAACGGGTTACAGGGTTACCTGGAGACAAGGCAACAGTAAGTGTTATAATGTATGTTTTCAATGTGTTTGTGAGTGTATCCTTTTTAAACTTGTATCAATGTATTTGTATGTTTAAGGTCAAAATGAAGATCAAAGTCAAAAGTCAAAGTCAACTTTATTGTCAATCTTCCAGTTTGTGTGTGCAGACAGAGAGATCGAAATAGCGTTTCCCACAGTCCCGAATATAAAAACAAATGTATATAAATATATGTGTGCAAATATATTATATATATATATACATACGTATACACAATCAAAGACACATTTGTACATGTGCACACATAGCAAAAGCTGTATTTCGTCATTACTCTTTAAGAAACAGATTTTGAATCTGACTGATTTATATCTTTACTTAGTATTCAGTTTTTGTGCATCATTTGTATTCCTTTCGGTTCTGCCTTGCAGGTGGAGAGCAGTCCCGTATTCTGGGGGCGGAGGTCACATCCTTCACCATGGACGGCCTGCAGCCGGATGAGGATCTGGTAGTTGGGGTTGCGACTGTGGTTGACCAGCGTGTTGGAGAGGTGGTCACACTGACTGGTCGGACTAATCCCAACGGGGGATCGGTGGCTGGCCTTCGCATTGTTGACTTTACACCTCAGGGGATACGCATTGCATGGTCACGTTCCTCCCGGGCAACTGGTTATAAGGTCACTTTGCGCAGTGATGATGGTAAGCAGTGATTAGCAAGTCAAGCAATATGAAGAATAGTAAAAGCTTAGTTTTTAGATATTGTTATTAAAACCTATGTATCTTGAGTTAGAGGAAGACATCTAAATGTTCATTTCTCTGCCATGTTTTGCTTTTGCAGGAGTTGAAACAACTCGTAATTTGGCCGCTGATGTCTCTTCTTACACCATTGACGGACTACAGTCAGATTCATCATACAGTGTATTAGTTTCTTCACTTACCGGCTCTCGAGAGGGGAGTCCTTCCACCCTGAGTTTCACAACAGGTACCACACTGAATCAAATGCATATTATTGCTTTTGTCTAGAGTGCCTTTTGGGAGAAACTTGGCTATGACTAGTGTAGTACAAAATAAAATAACTGACTGTTTCCTGTTCTGACCACCAGAGTCAGATAATTCTGTGATTGGGACTGTGACGTCACTGCAAGTCCAGGAGGCTCGTGGAGAGGTGGTCCGAGTCACCTGGGTTGGTGTGCAGGGAGCAACGTCTTACCGTGTGTCTTGGAAGAGAACAGATGGTAGACCTATAGCTTGACATGTTTTTTGGGGGTTAAAATCTCATATACATCTCACAAAGCATCAATTTGACTTGAAAAAATAAGTTGCTTTCTATTGTGTTGGGTGATTTATTGCAGCCAGACTGTATTACATTAGTCACTGTTGCGACTATGTGCTGCTGTAGGTGGTGAAGAGAGGAGTCAGCTGGTGGCGGGAGATGTGACAGCAGTGGATTTAGACCGGTTGGACCAGGGAGCCCAGTACGAAGTGCGGGTCATGGCTTTAGTTCAAAACAGAGAGGGAACTCCCGTGTCTGTCAGAGTCACCACACGTGAGTCCTGTCTTTCTTTACTCAGACATTATCTTATCATTTTTTAATGCTTAAAATATCCAGACAAAGTGTGTCGATGTAGAAAAAAAAATAAAGCATCTAAGTACAGCAACATTTAGAATTAGCTTTAGAATATAATATACAGTATATTGCATTTTAGGCCTCAGTAATATCTTGTTTAATGTAAAATGTTTCTTGCCAACATTCAGTGACTTAGTAAAACCTTGAAAGTCACTGTCAAGCCTGGGAATACTGTTTGTCTTGTGTGCCATCGTTTAATATATCTGTAAATCTTGGGTTCCAACAATTATATTTGTTGAAATGTCTTATGCAATTGAAATGCTGCTTCTCTATACCGGTGTATACAGCTGGTTCCCCCTCCCCCCCATCACGTACCACAACTTTACGAGTTGCGGAGGTTACCAGGGATTCAGTGCGGCTTGGCTGGACTCCACTTCCTGGCGCCACAGGATATATTCTACGCTGGAGAGACGAGAGAGGTGAAGTGTTGTAATTAATTTCTTTAAGACTATGCCTGCTCTTCAGTCCTATCATTATAACTGTTCACATCTCTCAGACATTGGTCCAGGCTTGTCTGTTACGCTCCCCGCTGCGTCCAACTTCTATCAGGTGACTGGGCTGCGATTGGGCCGTGGTTATCGTTTCACCGTGCTGCCCACTTTTGCAAATGGATTGGGAACAGAGAGCTCTCTAGATGAACGCACTGGTAACAAAGCCGCACATCCTGTTTTATGTACTTACCATACCCATTGACACATTTTCATACCTTACTTACCTCTACAACATTGTCTTCTCACAGTGTGTGTGGGCGGACGTCTGGACGTGGTGTTTGTGGTTCCGGCATCTACGGATCGGAGTAGCCTCGCAAGACCACTGCGTGAACTCCTCGCAAGTGCAGCAGGGTCTCTCAATACTATTGGAGCCCGGGACTCTCAGGTACTGCCCTTAAAATAAATCTTAAAACAGGCAGTGGAGAAAACACCTGCATCTGCTGCCAATATTCAGATGTATTTTCTGCCTGTTTCAGGTGGGAGCTGCAGTATATGGCTACAGACCCAAAACATGGTTCCCCCTTAGTCGCCATAGCAGGTATGACACACTTCTTCAACAGATCCAGTCCACACCATTTGATGAAAGCCCGGGAAATAACATTGGTCAGTTTTTTTCTCTGTTTGATTACCTTTTCTGTACAAACAGCTTGATATGTTTGTGTTAAGAGTTGTGATATGGTGTGTCTCCCTCTGCAGGTGAGGCAGTGACCTACACCAGGCAATACCTGCTGACCCCCTCAGTTGGACGGAGACCGAGGGTCCCTGGTGCTGTCGTCATCATCGCTGACAGAAACTCAGCTGACAATCTGACTCTGGCAGCCCTCGGTCTTAGGGCTACAGGTGAGAGGACCAAGAATCAGACACACAGCAGTCATCTGTGAATGTGAAATGTAGTGTTTGCTTTACCTGAAGGTATGTGACCACCTGCACCAGAAAGATCACTGCAGTTGGTTTCATCTGGACAATTTAGTCTTAAGATTTCCGCTAGCAAGTGTATGTAACTTGAATTAAAAATGTAAATAAACAAAACAGCCATAGCTCTGTGATAGATGTCCCCTCGGGAACACAAATCTATTTTTTGTAGAGATGCTCCGATCGATCGGCCGTTATCGATCGGTGCTCTCTATAAAGGCCGATCAGGAGAGCCGAGCATATGACGTAAAATACATGACACTTTTCTCAGTGCGCGGCAAAACAAGCTCGCATAAATGGCTTCACCAGTCTGGCAGTATTTTAAGGTGTCCGAAAAAGACAATAAAATTGCGGTATGCAACGTGTGTGAAGCAGAAATCCTGCAGCTCCGTCCGCAGTGACGGACCGGTGAGCGGAGCGAAACACACACTTCAAGTTAGACCTAACACACTTAGCTATTTTATCTACCTCTGGAACTAGCTAAACTAGTTATAAATATGTTTATTCTTCACTGTCGGGTCACTCATTACTGGAATAGCGAGTTGCATGAGACGGATAAGGACGGGTTGGCCTGACTGGAGAAGGAGAGAGAGCGCNGGTGGAGAGACAATGCACAGTTTGACCCACTGCTGTCACCCTTGGCCAAAGCATATCTCTCTGTCCCAGCAACATCAGTACCAAGCAAGAGAGTTTTTTTCACAGCAGGGGATATTGTAAACGCCCAAACATCCCAGCTTCTACCTGGAAATGTGGACATGCTCATATTCCTAAAAGATAACCTTGATGATGCTGAGTGAGTGAGTGAGTGAGTGAGTTAGAGTTGAGTTACTTGAAAAACTAAAGTGAAACTTGATTTATTCTATTGCAGGGGCTGATTATTATATTGTTGACACTTTAAAATACTACTATCCTACTAAAATGCTGTACAAATCAGATGTAATGTTTAATAAAGAAAAAAAATTCAAGTAAAAAAAAAAGTTACAAAAAGAATTCACATTTTTTTCTTTATTTTTCAATATCGCCATAAATATCGTACCGTGAGTTTTTGTTATCGTTACATCCCTAGTATATGATAAGGTATAATAAAGTAAAGTATAGCATGATAAAGTATAATATCAGTATATATATAGTACATTATAGTACATTTATAGTATATAATATAGTACATTTCAGTATCTATGACACATGTTTATAATGCATTATGAACAGGGGTGCACATAAGTGGTACGCAGGTACGCATGCGCGGCAACAATCTGAAATGCGTACCGTCACTTGTGTCACAAAGCGCATTTGCGTACCGATGTATATGTGAAGCTTTTCCATAAGGCGGTTAGACTTTGTGACACAAGTGACGGTACGCATTTCAGATTGTTGCCGCGCATGCGNACGGGGTAAAAACCACCAATGAGCGCTCAGCTCGAGATACCAGCGAGTCGTTTCCCATCAAGCATTTCGCCTCCGCAGCCCGTGGAGAGGAACTGCGGCGCCTCGCCGCGCCTCGCTCTCAAGGCTGCGGGCGTCTTTGTCCCGCGAGATTTCAACGTCTCATGTGAGCGAGCCTCCAGAGCAAGTCGGACAAAATGACTAACCATCATGCAACGCACGAGCAAGACGTTGATCGAAATTGCGCAGGTCTGCGCAGGTCTCGCTTGTCTCAAACAAGCCTAGAGAGACAGGTAGAGAGACAGGCAGATAGACACACAGGTAAGAGACAGGCAGGTCGTGGAGGGACTTACAGTCCATTGAACAGTCGTAGACACCAGATTTTATTCAGTGTTTATGTTGGAGCATCAGTATTTTTGATTAGGCTGCTTTTGGGATGTTAGAAGAATTTCAACAAAAATATCCCAAAAAAATTCTAAAATACATTATCCACCTCAGCTCTCAGGAAAAGCAAACACACATTCTTAGCTTTGGCTCTGTCTCAGCCTACATGAACGTAAGCCGATTTGATTCTTGTCATCGGCCTGCACTCTTGTATACACAACCACAGAAAAAAAGCACCAAATCCACCTTCACAATAGGCCTATATTTATAAAGCTGAAAGGGAAAATGACTCTCCACAGAAAATGAACACTTCACTTTCCTGTAATCTCTCCTATCCCCCTACATTGTCACACATCTTTAAATCCAGTTGAATCGGCTTGAAATGGAGAGCAAGCAGTTCTGTAAATCTGTGTCAGTTAGAAAACAGGAAGCACTGAAAACATACTGCACTATCATCATTCAGTTGCTTTGCATTCCTCGCTTCAGCTGGAAACAAAACAAAACTCTAAAACCGCAATTAAAATGTGATAAATCAATTGTATTCTTTGCTGAATTCAACTTACATTTTAGTTTCAAGAAAAAAAAATGACTCGCCTTTTTAACAAAAATAATTAAACCTGCATATCAAAATGTGCTTTTAAATTGTAGGATGAAAATACATTTATTTTTGAAAATCATTGTTGTCAAAGAGATAACAATTATATATGTTTTTATAAGAGACAATAACAAATCTGTTTAGCACTGCTGTGACTGACAAATGTATTAAAAGGATGATTTAATATTTTTTTAAGTATCCAACTCCAACCCATTCCCTCATATGTTCCCTCACAGGTGGGAACATGTTCCCACCTGTTTATTGACAGCTGCGCCTGCTTGCTAGGAGTGTGGTTTCACACATTACTACAGTACAAGCTAGACTCCTTGCCTTCTTTTCTCATCTTATTTCCTTATTATCTTGTTTGCTGGGTCCTCCTGCCTGCTTCTACTGAACCCTGCCTTGAGAAGCAATAGTGCTGACAATGACAACAATTGCTCACTGTTGGCCAAAGAGTTGAAGATGATATATCTTTTCACTGTCATTTTATCTTGGCTACACATCATGAGATAATGTAGTGTGATTGAGAAATTATACTATGATTTATTTTTCTTCCACTGTTGTTAGGTGGGTTAGCTGGGCCAAATAGCTGTTTTTGTTCCTTTTGATTTCAGCAAAACCTTGTTTTAGATTCTCAAAGTCAAATTATTGTAATAATGGTGAAATCATGAGTGGAAAATTACCCTTATCACCACAGTTGGCATTGGCTATTGAACATATTCATCAAAAGAGTAGGGATGGGATAACTGTCCTAAAGCAAAATGCACCTTCAGCACAGAGTAGCCATTCTCAGGTTTACTTTTGTAGCCTGCTCATGTTGAGGGATGTCACATGAGAATGTTTAAAGGAAAATATTTTTAGGTGGGAAACTGTGTGCAAAGTGTAAATCGAAGCAGTTTAAACCACAAGTCATCTTGTCTCCATTGTCCCTAACCAAGACAGGCTAAAATAGCAGTGTTGGGAGAACACGCACACTAGAGCTGGAATGTGTTTTTATTAGTGCAGCATGTTTACGGTTTCAGTTCGGTTGGCTGATTTAAAGATCCAGAGCTGCATAAGAACATCTGCCTTGCACATATTTCTTTGGAGCACTGTGTGCTTCACACCACCCTCTGTCTTCTCTCTCTCTCTCCCTCCATCCATCTGAACAGTAAATGTGTTGCAAAGGCAGCGTATATCTGAAAAAAAGAGGATGAAACATTATTGATGAAATGTATCAGTTTTGGCATTACTGCCCCATGGCTTACAATGTATATGGTTAGAGCATTGAGAACATAAATAAATACAAATGAAGGTAATATTTAATTCCTATGGCTTCACAAATGTCTTGTGCTAACAGGACTACTTTCATGAGTAAGTTAAATGCCACAAGGCCTGAGAGAACTCAGAAAACCAAATTTGAATCCTGTCTCAAAATCCAAGCGACTCATTCTAACATTATCATTTCCATTTTAACACAGCATGCTTTAAACATCTGCTCAGTTGGGTTTGAAAATGTATCCCTCAAACAGTTTAAATAGAAAATATATTAACCTGGCTCACTGGTAGCTTGGTTAGGTTACAATTGCCATGGGGTTAGTGCTGATCAGGCTTAATAAACAAAAAATATACTAACAAATAAGCATAATAAGTGAACCACATTATTATCAAAAAAAGTATTCATTGTGACAGCTGACCTGACCCAACTTATCCTTTTGTATTTTTTCATTTGTCAATTGTAGGCTTTTTTACAAAAAAACGTAAAACATTGAACTTCAACAAAATAAAAACATTTAACCAAAAACACATTTATACAAGTAGCTTTAATTTGTTAAAGAAAATGTGTGTATTATTCTTTGGATTTGTTGCCAAACTGTGTGTTCCTGCTTAAATTTAAAGCAGGCAACTAAACCACGTGAGAGTTAAAAAAATCAACCTGTGTGAAATCGTGACCCCGATAGTTTCTTTTTTTTTTTTACTTACTTGGAAAAATAGCGGGATTTCTGTGCCAAAGTTAGAGCTCTGCTTGGGAACGTGAGTTGCTCGCAGGCGGGAGCAAGGCAGGGAGGGACAAGAGGCGGTGAGAATGAGGTGGGTGAAAAAGGAAGAAAGGGAGAGCGTAGGACTCCCCTTCAGGCATCCCAACAAGTCTGGACTGTTCTGCTGCTGCTTGTGTTCAGTTCAACGCGTTTACGTCTCCTGAAGGGATGCAGCGACAGAAGTTCACTTATTGAGCTACAGTGGATCATTGCCTTCTGTTTTTTTTGCAGCTGTGACTTTGGACACGGGTGACTGGGAATACTTCTGTGATTTCCAGACAGTGCACGGAGAGCTAGGGCTGGATATGCCACAGGTGGAAAGGTGAGGAGCGGCAGGCTGTGGCCCCGGTGCACGGAGCAGACTTCCCCAGGTAAGAGGAGTCAGAGGCGGGAAGCTGAGCCCCGGCGCTGGGCTCTGTGGCAGCTCTTGTGTATCATGTGCACTTGAATAATACAAATATATTTATGGAATTACTGATGCTTTTCTGAATTGAGGTTGTGCACACTTTGTAAGCTGCATTTCTACTTACATTTTACAGAAATATTTATGTTTGGATGAAAATGTATTTCTGCATTGATTTACTCTGCATGTTCATGCAGTTATACTGTAGGTGATAACTCTAGTCTAGTTGGACGATGGGCATTTATATCTGCCAATACTCAACTCCTCAGATCATTAATTTCCCTGCAACAAACCCTTGACTTTGAACAAGACTGAGCAGAACAATCCCCTTTTTTTCACCCTTCATGAAATGCAATTTATCAGAATTTATTTGTAATGTCTATTTAAAGGAGCGGATATCTAACTCCCACATAATATGTAGACCTAATTATACCCCTTACAAACACTGTCTGACTTTGCATAAGTGTTCATTACAGTTGCAAAGGAAAACGAGGGAGTGCACAAGCAAGTTGACCTCAGCTGAACCCATTTGGTTATAGGGCTATACTCCTGGCTGCTACACCATGATGCTGCACAAAGGAAGGGCATCAACTCCTTCACTTCCTCCTTTGCCTTCTCTGCTTTTATTTATTTATTTTTTATTTAACCTTTATTTAACCAGATAAAAAGCATTGAGATAAAATCTCATTTACAATGCTGACCTGGCCAAGAAGGCAGCAACGTTACACATAACACATAACACAAACACGTAAAATACAGAGAACATAACTAAGAAAAGAAAAGATGAAAAAAGCAGTTACTACATTGTGTACATTAGGACATTAAGAAAGGCACTACTTATTACTGCAAGAGCAGCTGGTGGTAAGGACTTCTGACAACTTCAATTTAAAACATGCTATAGAGACAAGTGCCGTCAGTTTGAGGCGTGATTGAAGGTCATTCCAAGACCAAGGACCATAATAAAAGAGACTCCTTTTTCCAGCCTCAATCCGCACAGCAGGAACCTGGAACCGTATCCAGGCACTGGATCTGAGGTTGTAAAAGTCACAAACTAAAGCAAATCTGGCACATATGTACAGTGGAATCTTACCTAAAATGGCTTTATACATTAATAAAAACCAATGCTGCATCCTACGCATAGTGAGTGAGGACCATCCAGTTAGGCTATACAGTGTGCAATGATGAGTCCTATAGGGTGCATTTGATATATAACGCAGTGCAGCATGGTAGAGTGGGTCAAGTTTGGCCAAGACAGTGGGACAGGCAAATCTATAAATGGTATCACCATAGTCCAGTTGGGACAGGAATAAGCCAGAGACCAACCTTTTACGGGATGAAGTTGAAAAACAACATTTAAGTCTGTAAAGGAAGCCAAGAGTGAATTTCAATTTCTTTGTTAGAACTTCAATATGGTGTTTGAAATTCAGAATACTGTCCAACCAAAAGCCAAGATTTATGTCTCGTTGGTTTCAATTGTCTGTTCCACTTCTAAGTGCATCCATGTTTTGCTGTGGTCTGTCTCTCACGCAACGCCGGGATATAATTCCATTGACATTGACCTTTTAATGAATGGCTCAAAAGCCTTTAGCATGAATTATTAGACCCTTCCTCTCTGCCTCACCCTCAGTCCCCCCCTCCTCATCTTTTCATTCACATTATCAATGCAGCCATATGTTTCCTTTCTTGCGTGCCACTCGGGTGCGATATGGACTGATCCCAAGTGTGTCATCCAGAGGACTGTTGCTGATTACTGGGTCTGTTTGATGTTTTTCGAAGGGAACATTTTCTGTTAACCATAATAGAACATTAATTTCAGAGGGGTACTTTTAAATATTGTTGTTTCCTTCACAATGTCAACAACAATGGGCCTTTTTATGGAAAAGTTCTGGGTGTTTTAAGTATTTTTTTAATGTTACTGGTTCTTTCAAACGTTTTCCTGTGTTTATTTTTGGAATAGACTAGCTGTAAACTAGGGGATTTTAAACTTTTGTCTTCATTCATTTATGTCTTCGACGGAGATACCCTATTGATAAACGTAATAACTTCCCTGATTTATTCCATCTGGCTATTGTAAATAGTAACACAAAGCTTGTAAAAAAGGAGGATAAGATTAGTGGTTCCTTTGAAACTTGTTCCAACAAGAGGTCACAGAATATTTTTAAAAGCTGACTGCTTTTAGTACTTTTGTTTAGCTTGGATGAAGAAACTGACTTAAAGTTCATTATTGACGGAAGTGAGGCATGCTGTACTTGACCTGAGGGCACAGGTCAAAGGTGAATGACCAGTCAACTTGTTTTTGACCCCCAGACAGACTCAGAGTAAGTCTCTTCTGTTCTTGCCACCAGCAGCTTTTGTTATCCAAGTACCCAACATTCTGGTGCGTGAGCAAATTTGCAGGAGACTTTGGTAATTTACTGTGGCACCCCACCCTACTATGACCCTACATCCCCCTGTCCATGTGTGTCAATTTCTGTCCCCTGATGACTGATGTTATGCTGAGAGTAACTGGCTCTTACCCAATCCTGCACTGTGGCCCGCCGCCCCCCCTGGGAGAATGGCATCTCTACTAAACCACAACTCTGTGATCCTGCCTGAGCCGAGCTTTCAGAATGCAGCCTCTGTACTGCTCCCACCAGATTCAGTGGGATGAGTCCAAATCTCTTTTTCTTCCTGTCCCCGCAAAGTCCTTTTCTTCCTCTATCTATGCCCTTGTGACATGTTGTTTTTTTCCCCACACCCAGTCCTCACTTGACTACTGTTGATGGTGGCATTTAGCTGCACTTTGATACTAAACATTGACCTTCTAAACCCCTGTGTTTTGTTTAATTCCCAGGTGGCCTATGGTGGGTGGGGCTATAAAGCAGTTACTTCCTTCTTTAAACAATTCCAGGTGTGGAGGCCACCCTAGGAATGTAATTGATGAATGTATTTGCATATGCTGTAATAAAACATGACTTTATCAGCAAAGGATGTTACTCCCACAGTACTCTAACTTTAGAAAGGGGCCTTAATTATAGTAGGGTTTGTGGGTATGTTGTGTGAGTGACAGGAAGAGAAAGCAATTTTAGTTTCCAGCAGTTTTTTGATGGCTCTCACGTAATTAATGCCTTTTAATTATCATCTGTTAAGTAAGTCAATATGCATTTGCTCAGAAAAGGCTGTGGGTATGGACTGTGGTCTCAAAACCTTGTTAACATAATGAAACCAGAAATACAGTATGCATGGTTTCATTAGATTACAGTAAATTAAAATAACATCAAAGGTGAACATGCTGATGTGGCTCGTCATGAGCTAATCGTACCTTATTTAATTGTATTGCCGTAGAAGTCTGAGAATAAATACTTAAAAAAAACGGGAATGAGCATTACATTTGGAACATATTAAGCTTAATTAAGCCTTTTGAGTTTGGTAAAAACAATTGTTGGTTTTGTGGGCTCTGCATCTTAAATCAGGAACACACATTCATGGCTAAGTATGAGCTTCTGGCTTGAGGAAATGTCTAGAAGTCTTGAACAAATATAATAAAATGGGAAAAGGCCAAGATATTCTGGTGTATTTTTAGTCATAAGGATTTTTAGAGTTTGATAATGAGTATTCACTGTGTCTATGCTCAGTACACAATGTATGAAAGTACTTTTATAGAAAAACCCAAGTCCTACTAAAACTTTACTAATAGAATAGTTTCAACATTTTGGGAAACTTGCTAATTTTCTTTTTTAGAGAACGATAGATTAGAAGATTGATCCCACACTCACATCTGTGGGTCAATGTAAACTAAAGCTACAGCCAGATGACATTTAGCTTAGCTTAGCATAAAGATTGGCAAAATGGTTGAAAAAGCAAGACTCTGCCCAAAGGTAACAAAATCCAGCTGACAGAACATTCACAAATGAACATGTTGTCATATATTGTTTGTTTAATCCATGCAACAACTATAAATAAACAATTATTTGTTATGGTTTTATGAGGGTTTGTGTGCCAAACTATTTCTTGGCCAGGTGCAGTGATTAAAACAACATTTTTTTTTGCTTCACTTTTTGCAATAATATCAAACTGAGATAGCAGTGTCTCCCTGTTTCGAGTCATTTTGCTAAGCTAACTTGGGCCGTGTACTGCTATGTATGAGACAGATGTGACAATGGTGTCAATTTTCTCATCCAACTCTTAGAAAGAAGCCAATACATGTTTCTCACAAAATGTGAAATTATCCGTAACAGCTATTGTATAGCCATAGTATTATAGTACAGCACTGCAGCAAGAGCCCTTTTTTCTGCCTGCTGGGAATGTTTTGGGCAATGAAAATGACCACATTCCAGATGATGTTGATTTTCCTTGCATTCCTTTACATGCTCAGAAAATCACGTATGTCTGATGTTGTCATGCTGCTCTCTCTTATACATTTGGTTTCATCAACTTAAGTGGTTTCCGGTGGTTTTGATCCTGACAATGTTTACTGTAGCTTCCATAGCTCTACAGAGTAGATCAGAGGTTTTGTCCATTGGCTCAACATCTGTCACCTATTTGCAGTAGCCAGTGCCACTGTGTCTTGCATTACCTCTATGAATAGGTGATTGTGTATATAGGTTGTTATGGAAAGAAGTACCCCACATACATATCGGATTCCACTTATCAGATGATTGCTGTCACAGAAATTGGCTGAGATTGATAGTTTAGCTCCTAACTTGTGAGCAGTGGATAGCGACACTGATGATGTGTAAATGTGACACAGGCCAAAAAGAAAATCGACATGTGAAAGTCCTGGACTGTCTTATTGTTTGCACCAAATAATGTAAAAATTCAGTTTCATAATAACACAGTTGCATTCTGTTCTGGCTTTTGCACTCCAGACATATAGTAGTACATTCTTATGGAAATATGGTGCATGCAGTGCATGACATTTTAGGACATAAATGTGTGATGCTAAGTATAATGTAAATATATCACATTGTTAATATTTGCATCTGACATTATACAGGTTAAACGCAACAAATACAATACAAGTAATGAAAAGTAAAACATAAGCAGATCATTTTCATCATTACATTGCTCAATGTGTTTCCAACATACATGATTAAGTGTTTGCGATGTTTACTGTGTTGCATTGTCACAACAGTGCATGATGGACAATGTAGTTCTGTTTTGGCAATTAAGAAAATGAATTGTTAAATATGTGGGGTGTTGATTTCATACTCACAGATCACAATTGCATAAACATATTTTATCAACTTGAGTGTCGGGTTGAAGGTCAGGGAACATTTGTTTATGCGTATCTGGTATTTGCAATTAATTTGGATTTGTCCACACATGCATTGTTTGTATTGACACAAAGTTAATGACAAGAGTTACAATAATATTTTCCCTGGCTTCAGTGTGCATATTTTGAGGTCATTATCCATTGTAATTTGAAGGTCTTATTAAATTCATCATAACAATATATTATATTGTAATTTCGAATCAGTAAGCCATCTTAACAGGTGTTAATGTTTGTTTTGGTTTTATTGTAATTGATCAATTTCATATTCCTGCCTTAACTTGTACTAGAGGCTCTGATTTGGGTATTTATGCTAGTGTAGGAAGTAGGAACTATTTAGTCTGAGTAGTTTTACAATGCTAACAGTGAACATGTAACATGCAAACATGACTTTCACCTAAAGATTCTTGTCAAGTTTAACTAATAAAAGCGAAACACTTAGTAGTCAGACAAACATTTAGATCAAGAAAACAAAGTGTTCAAAGGGAGGTTGGCAGGCATATAGGCGTATATATCAAAGATGCTAGGTGGTTCAGAACAGGTACAGGCAGGAACAATGGCAATAACTCTAAAGAAACATGGAGACTGTGACAAATAACAGGGCTTAACTACCCTCAACATAGGCTGTGGAACAAATGACATGTGTAATGCAGCTGAACAGGAACGTAATAACATTATGAGCCTCAAATAAATTAAAAACAAATATGACTATCTGACATCACAAACTGGAAGATTGACAATAATGTTGACTTTGACTTTGACATTTTGATGATTGTGATGAATATTATGGATGGCAACATTTGATCTGACAGAAGAGGGTTCCAACAGAGACGACCTGAAGCCACAAGGAAAGAAGGAGTATTAGTTCAAACAAAAACAAGGCGGTCTAACCCTGCAAGAATGAATAATTTAAAATTGTTTTCAGGTTTATTTATTTTGTAAAACATTTGGTTCCCAATCTAATGTATTTTTCTCCATTTACTGGTACTACTTTGATGGTCTCAATGAGTACAATTTTTTTAATTGTTATACATTAACAAAATGAATGATAAAAAAACAACATATAGGTACATAAAGGTCTTTCTTCAAAGTTTGTACACCCATTCGATACAATGTAATTCAAAAGGGGGCTTCAATTAAATGTGTATGAAACAAATGCTGCTATTAACAGAAAATGTAATATAACTATAAAGTTACAATTTTGTAATGTGGTCAGACTGTTTTGCATTGAGTTCTGATGGTTTCAGACATGATAAAACAAGTGTAATCTACTCTCTTTGTGCCCAGGTTTGTGAAGATGGGGACCTGGTTTTTCACTGTGACTGTCCTGCTGTTCTCCATGAAACAGGCTGAAGCTCATGGTAAATATAAATCAAATGATCCTCCCAACTACCACACCAGCTCCAATTTTCCTCCTCACGTGTTTGTTTGAATACAAAAAGTGTGTTCTCTCATGTATTCTTCATCCCTCTGTATTTTCAGGCAGGTGTAATAATGTGCAAGCAGCAGATATTGTTTTCCTGGTTGACGGGTCTTCCAGTGTTGGCCGAGCAAACTTTCTTCTGGTGAAAGGCTTTATGGCTGGAATCGTCAAACCATTTGCCAGCTTTGTCAGCAAGACAGGGATACGGTTTGGTGCAATACAATACAGCGAGACCTCCAGGTGACTGAAAGGATTAATATTCACAAACATTCATATTCATTACTAGGGATGTAACGATACCAAAAACTCACAGTACGATAATATCGCGATAACAAGTCCACGGTATGGTATTTATCGCGATATTGAAAAATAAATTTAAAAAAAAAGTTCAAAGACTTTTGGGGGAAACATTTATTTTGAATTATTT